ACTTGAGCTACACCCCAGCCCCCCTTTTTTTTCATATAAGTTCTCATGTTTTGCCCAGGCTGGCTTGACATCCTACCAATGCAATCCTGTGGAGCTGGGATTATGTTACTACTGCACCCAGCCCGCGTTTGTTAATAAAATCTATTAAAATGAGCCAAAGATGTTGTTTTCCTATTGATCGCAATTCAGAAAAATAACTGTCGCTAATGTTTTTCTATATTAACTGAAGATGGCTTACAATGATAGCTAAAGTAGTTATGCATCATTTACAGAAGCTATTTCTGATGTTACTTGTGCTTTAAAAGACATTTAAACAGGGTGGTGGGGACTCACGCCTGTACTCAGGAGGCTGAGATCTGAGGATTGAGGTTTGAAGCCAGCCCAGTCAGGGAATACCATGAGATTCTTATCTACAATTAATCAACCAAAAAAGAATGAAAAAAAAAAAAGAGCTGAAGTGTGGAGCTGTGTCTAAAGTGGTAGAGTGCCAGCCTCGAGTGAAAAAGCTAAGGGTCAGTGCCAAGGCCCTAAATTCAGGCCCTAGTATTGGCACCCCCCCCAAGTACATAAATAAAAGACATTTATAAGTACCTACACAAATTTTAGTTAAGTATAATAAGCATACAAGTGTATTTTAAACAACCAATGCTTAATATTTATTAAAGTTAAATGTTTTCTTTCTTTTTTTAAAGAAGTAATGAGCTGACAATGAATCCTCTTTTTGCTGGGATGAAATGAAGCATAGTATGCCCATTTAGCATCACAGGTTTATACTGAAAAGGATTTAGGGACAGTTTGCCACACCCTGGAAATCCCCACTCTGTATAAACTCTAGCTTTCCAAATTAAAAAGGTAAAATAAGAATGTGGTTATCATTTTTGTTCCTGGTGGATGGCTTGCAAGTCTTGTATTCCATCTGAGCTGGTCTTAATTTAAGATCAAAATACAGGTGCAATCTTGTAAATGAAATGGTTATGAAAGTCTCAAGAATAAGAAGGGATCAGTTTATGAATGTTTTTCAGGTGGTGATATTAAAAATAGCTGCTACCAGGTACAGAACTCAGAGAATATATAAAAGATGAATTTAAGTAAATGTAAGACTTTACAAATTGTTACAGTGAAGAGTTCTTAATTACTGACACTGTAACGTTTTGCTCTTCTTCATGTATCTACTATAAAACCCATTAAATAGAAGCCACCAGGAAACCAGTGTTGATGCAGAGTAAGTCAAATGCATTATCAGCTCATGACACCCCCAACACAGTAGGAAAACATTGTGGTTTCTATCTTTTGCTTTAGAGAGAACATTTTTTCTTGGTTGTGTATTAAAATAAAGTTTGTGCATGATCCTTCTGTCAGTTGACCTTTTTCTTCCCTAGTAGTGTATAGTTAATTGATCTTCTCTCCAAAAGTGATAATTCTCCAATTGTTTGCAGATTTTAAGACAAAAACTTGGATTAAGGCTTGGATTATGGTTTCTTTCCTTAAGGAAGACATTTTTGTGTTTTTTTTACAGGCAGTTGGGTTGAGAATAGATCACATTAACATTCTCAGGGACAAAGTAGATTGAGATGACTTAAAGGTTACTATGAGGACTCATGAGAGAAATTTCTCGTTGGCTTCAGTATCAGCAGAGCTTGCTAATAAGCGCTAACCTGCTATGAAAAACTACAAAAGGCAGGAAGTTTATCCTGCTTGCTTGCTAACAAGTTGGCCATGGCTGGTAGCATAAAGTGCAGGCCTCTCTCTAGAACAGTGAAAAAGGAGTTGGTTATTCAAGAAAATAGCAGTAACCAGCTTATTGTGAACATTTTCTTCAGTCTCCTTAATTCCTCTTCCTTTGGAGTGATGCAGCAGGGGACACATGACTGGCACATGTCCTATGAAGGAACCAACCTTAGGGATGCCTCACTTTTGCTTGGCATTCTTGCTCAAGGCTGGCACTCTACTACTTGAGCCACATCTTCACTTCTGGCTTTTTTGGGGATAAGAGTCGCATGGACTCTACCCTTGCTGGCTTTGAACTGTGATCTTCAGATCTCAACCTGCCACGTAGCTGGGATTACAGGCGTGAGCCACTGGCACTCGGTTTGCTCTTATTATTTTTTAAAATTTTAGCTTGCTCTTTTATTAAGCTCATATGTTCAAACTGGAATATAATTAAGGGTATTATAAGCAACAATCAGATACTTTGCTGAGGTCAAGATGCAAAACATACCATTCTCCTGTCAACACAGAATGGCATTATCAAGTCATTAGTCTTTCTTAGCAAATATACTGCTTTGGGGGACCTTTAATCTTGATTGTAAACCATTCCTTTTAACTGGTATTCTTGTACAGAAATGATATCAAGCTCAGCAATTCACTAATTCTCCAATTACTGAGAACCTACCATTGGGGGAGGGAGAGGCAAGAGAATGAAGGAAAGGTATGGTGCCCTCCTGCCTGTCATCCCAGAGCAGAGGTAGGATTGTGGTTTGTAGCTAACCCAGGAACAAAATTAATGAGAACAAGCCAAGCATGAAGGGGTATACCTGTAATTCCAGCTACTTGGGAGCTGTAGTCTGGGGAGGGCTGCAATCCAAAATCAGCTCAGAGCAAAACACATTTCTGAAAAAATTAGTATAGCAGTAAGAACTAGCATCATGAGAACTCAGTGGGAGAACATTTGCCTAGCAAGCACAAGGTCCTGAGTTCAAACCTAGTGCCACCTGATACTGATAAAGCTACTCATGAGAAGGCAGGTGGTACGAAATAGTTATAGGGGGGTTACTTAGTTTGGTAAGAAAAGGCTAACCTAGTGAGAGGCATTGTTTAGACTGAAACTAAATCTGCATTCTGTAAAATCATGACATCTGCCATCTCAAGTCTGCTGTCATTTTCCCATGATTTCTTGACAATACTTACAATACCGGGAGGGTTTTAGTAGTACAGCAAACAAAACACCCTCCAAGTTTGGTATGTTTAGCATTTACTTTTGAAGATAGGGAGACATTATAGTTTCAGCAAGAAACTTGAATTATGAATTCTAATTTTTCCAAGCTGATTACTGTGCTTAATTCAAGTTTTTTTGTGTGTGTGAGTACGGATATGTGCACATGTGCGGGGGTTGGTCCTGGTATGGGTGCATATGCCGGGGTTGGTCCTGGGGCTTGAACTAGCTAGGGGTTGTCCCTTAGCTTTATTGCTCAAGGATAGCTCTCTACCACTTGAGTCACACCATCACTTCTGGTGTTTTTGGTGGCTAATTGGAGATAAAAGTCTCATGAACTTTCCTTCCTGGGTTGGCTTTGCTTGAACTAGCATTCCCAGACACAGACAAAGACATGCCAAAAAACAAAAACCTGCACAAAATGGATTAGTTTTTAAAATAAGGATGTTAGTAACAGTACTTTGTGTAGATAAACTTTGGACATAATTCTTGATTTCTTCTTCTCTGGAGAAAGGCAAATAATTTACATTCTTTACAATTCAAAATGGAAAGAAATACTATATATTATAAAAACATAATTAGGTTTTTTGTGTTAAGTTCACATTAACTATGATGTATATTATGACTGGTGTGGTCTTATAGGAATTCTTATTTTAAGATTTTTTTCTTAAACATGCAAATAAAGTCAGCCAGGAAACAAGAATCTAAACAGTTTCCTGGCTTGAGGTAGTGGCACATGCTTATAATCACAGCTCTTGGAAGGCAAAGGCAGGAGAATTGCAAATTCAAGGCCAGCTCAGGGTATATAACAACCAACCAAGCAACCAACCAATTTCCTGTAGTTGGTCCTGAACAGGAAACATGAATGATGAAATATGCCACTCTAAAATTATAATCCAAATGCCAATTCAGCAACAAAATGCACAGAGAATATATCTGTATGTGGTATAAAAATGGACTAAAACAATTATTTTGCTAATATGCAGATACTTTCCAGATCTATTTATTATTTTTCAGTGGTACAGTATTGCCTGTTACTTCTAAATATACTGAGATAACATTGTAAGAAAACAAGTCTTCTGTAAAGTTATGCTGGAACTTTCAAACAAGTCTATTCAGATGAAAGGCTAAATTAACGGCGTAATTTGTGTATAAGAGATATCCAACATAGTTTTGTTACTTGGTCAATTTGGAGAATCAGAAACTAGAACTGTCATTTACAAAACTATTCAAACACACATTCTGTATCCAAACAACAGTAAATGGTAACCAGCACAAAATATTTGCTGTAGTTAGCTACTGCAGTTTTAACACAAAGGTGGTATTTAATTATGCCCTTAAAGATCAAATTAGAGTCCAAATAGGTTGTCTGAAAAAATGGAGTCATAGAAAAGACAATATTAATGGCTGCACTTCCCCAAACTTTATCAGAGACTAATTTAAACCTGCATTGCTTTTGTAAGAAAAAAATATAGACTTGTGTCCTCCACTAGAATTATAGTAGAGATACTGGTGGAAATTTAGAACAAGAAAAGATCATGGCTTGGTTTCAATGACTTGCAATTTCATTCAGGCTGAATGCTAATTTACTATTTAGCTAAAAACAAAAGAAAACAAACCTTATCTTTGAAAAGGGGTGAAGGATAAAGGTCAGAAACCTATGTAAGAGAGGTAGAGTTGCTTCCACTCAAGCATTAAACTTGAGGGAATTCAGCTAAATTGATAATTAAGGCACCACTGGAATTCTGAAAAATTGCTTTGAAAATACAGATATAATTTCAAGTTAGCTTTTCATTAGGTTGAAAACTTGTAAATTACACTCAATTAAAAGGAATGACCATGGGAGTTTTATGCTGTGTCAGAAGAATGTACTTGGAAAAAATGATTGTCTTCTCTGTAAAGAGAGTTCACATTTTACTAAAAAATCATGTTAAATCATAATGATTATGTCAAAGTAAGCTATTTATTTGGATTGTATTTCTAAAATATTAGTATATCTTCATGAATATATGTTTTGTTACTTTTGATTGTGTTTCAAACCAAAACACATGACACAAACAAAACAAAAACAAGTATGCAAAAACATTTTATTTATAATAGATCAACATTTTTGACATGAAAGGTAGCCACTTTCAACTTCTCAGGAATGCCTAGAATCCAACAGTTTTCAGAAAGACCAGTTAGTCAACAATCATTTCATGGTAGGTAAAAGAAATAAGTTTCAGAATAAACTTTTAAAATGGCTTTGCCTATGGCAAATCATTTTCTAAGCTTGAATGTGTGGTAACCTAGCTTTCCCAGGAAGTGAATGTAATCCAACTATATTCCAAGTGTACTAAACCGCTTTATACAACAAATAGGAGAATCCCTGTATGTATCAACTGTGCTCAAATGAGAATTCTCTTTATCAAAATATTCATTTTTCAAAAAGGCCTCACAATAATCCCTCAAACCAAGCACCCCAATGTCCAGCACTCCTTTCTACTTTAAGTTGTATTACTGTATGAAAGCCATCAAATCCCAGTGGAACTGTACATTAACTTTTGGCTACGGAAATATACCAAACACAAGAATCGTCACTGACTTTAAGGGATAAGGTAGCAACTAACCAATAATAATTTAGTTAATGTCGCTTTCAGTTCAGAGGGAAAAAAAGCAGTCCCAAAATGTCCTTAACTTCGCAGTACTTCTCTGTAACACACAGGATGGAAAAGTAAAATTAAAATCACCAGAAAACCTCTTAAGTAAAATGTTTTGCATAAGTGTTAAATTTTAGATTTAAACCACATTTTCTTCTGCATTTCAATTTTGGGTGGAAACACAATTATTAGCTCTTCTTAGTTACATTTATTTTTGAGCAATTGAATCTACTAGAATTCACCTTGGATAACTACTCCCCAGTGCTTCAGTGCAGTCTTTCTTCAGCTAAGTCCATTATACGCATGTAAGTGTTGGGGAGGTTTAAATAGCACTTAAAGAATATTCATGAGAGCTCGGAAATGTTGGACGTTTCATTATCTAATTACTGTAGGATCTGGAATTCAAGTTCATCACAGCAGCCTAAGGAAATACTGTGTGAATGGAATGCACGCAATCCCTACAGAACTCACACGCTCAAGTCCAAAAGGCACAGAGTAATGCTGGTGGCTCTTTCTAGTCAGTTAAGAAACAATAAAAAGTCGACATTATTCTTCCATAATTTAAATACTTACGTAATCTCCACTTTTATTACTTTATAACAATGACTTCAATTTACATTATTTTAAGTACCATTGTAACAGCTTAGAGTATAATAGATATTTGCTAATATCCCATCCAAAAATAAAAGACAAAAAACAAAAACAAAAACCTTCTACTATGTATATATATGTACATATACATATATATACATAAAACAATTTTCAAATATAAGAACATAGAAGAGGGACTTGGTACAGACCATCAAATCAATCTTCTAATACCATAGTTGTAATCCCCAAATCAACAGATAATACAGCAATAATCAAAAGCAGTGCAAATATCTTTGGAGGTTAGGATAAAATTATAATGCAGTAACATAAAACTGAGAAATAAAAAAGGCAAGTACTTCAAGTACAAGGAACTGGTCTGCTCGAGGTCCATCTTAGTGTTTATCAGGGGCTTCTTTTCTTCTTCTACTTCTTTCTCTGAAACACGTTGGCCAACATGGCACCTGATGTTGTCAACTGGCCCATTTTGTTCAAAAATTTGGTCTTCGTGTCTTCGCTTACTAAGCTGGCAGCAATCGACATCGAGCTGGGAAAGAAATATAAGTCATGAAAAGCAACCAAAAGCCAAAACCATTTTTTCATTTCTCTAGCAATACATCATTAATATTCTCAATGAGCATCACAAAAGGGAAACTAGTATTTACCAGGGGAGTTTTCACAGACCCTATGAGGCCATATACTTTCATATGTATTGTATTAATCTGAAGGACACAAGAGTGGTTAAGACCTCGTCTGTGATAGGACAGGCTCTTGGCTTTGTTTACTAGCTGTGTGGCCTGGAGCCCGTCCTTATAGAACTGGCAGGACTACACAAGTGGAAAGTGCTTAGCACAGTGCTACACACATTAGAGTAGGCGGCTAGTTTTAGTGTGTGATCTTTTAATGGCAGCACTTCATTTAGCTCCCACAGTCAATCTGTCTCTCCATTATGAGCATACTAAACCACCCAGGTTTGGACAGTGCTGACAGGAATCTCATTTTTTTTTTTCTTTTCCCACTACTCCTAAAGCTTGAATTCAGGGCCTGAGCACTGTCCCTGAGTTTCTTTTGCTCAAGGCTAGGACTCTACCACTTGAGCCACAGTGCCACTTCCATTTTTTTCTGTTTATGTGGTACTGAGGAATTGAACCGAGGGCTTCATGCATGCTAGGCAAGCACTCTACCACTAAGCCACATTCCCAGCCCGAATCTCATCCTTTTGTGAAGTGAACATGTCCTCAATGACCAGTTCTATTCATTTTAATCAATAATTTTCAAATTTCCTGAGTTTTACCAACCTGGTGTACATGAAGTAAACAGAGCCAAAGGACACTAAACATGCAAATTTTATACACTACTGAACAGAAAAGAGAATACTGATCAAGCACGATTTCTTAGTGGTCTCACAACTGTCCTACAATAGACTCAGGAAACCCAGTTTACTGCCTTTGTGGTTTTGGTCAAGATGCTTCTGATCTCACTGGTTCAGTATGCTAACCTGTGAGCAAGCTTGCACTCTCCACTGGAGAGTAGCCCGAGGATCAATTAGATGTGTCTGAACAGACTAGGGGTGATGTCTGGCAAGCTGCAAGCTGCTGGTGCACAAGCTCTAACTACAGCTTGCAGTGAACGCCCCACCGAGGGAATCTAGGTGGGATTCTTTCAAGGTGAGCACCACAGAACCACAACTCCCAACATGGAAATCTCTTCTAGTCATTTCTCTTCATGTCTTAGATGACTCTGGTACTACAAAATAGGAGCTGTCTCTCTATCCATGAAGTAAACTCTCCATAATGTTTGGCTTTTGATTCTCCAATTACAAAACTAACTTTTGAACTTTTGAATTTTGACAACACTAAAACATGTACTGAAGCAGGCCTCTTTTCCTGGGGCAAGTCCCACATCACTACTGTTGCTGAAGAAAGCCAAGAGCTCAGGCTTTTTTTTTTCTTCTTTTAAACATCCAACTTTAGAAATGCCATTTCCTCTCTTCCTAACAGTAATATAATAGTTCCTCATCTACTTCAAACCAGTCATCAAGTTCTGTGACCTTATTCTATGGAAACATCCCTTCTGCTGTTCTTTTTTTGTTTCCATCATGGATACTTTAAAACTGAGATCCTCCAATAGTTTTGCATCTGGCTTCCTTGCATTGTCTGATTAGTGTCTGAAATAGTCACTTTTGTGTGTCTGTGAAGTTGGAGGCGGGACTCAGAGCCTTGCACATGGTTAAGCACACATTCTACCATGTGAGCCATACCTCCAACCCCTTTATTTGTAAGACAGTTTTGCATTTTGCTAGGGCTAGACTCAGGCTGAGATCCTCCTATCCATGCCTACCACGTAAACTGGGATTATAGGTGTGCAATACTGTATCCCAATTCTTTGTTGAAATGGGTCTGGCTAACCTTATTTTTGGTCATTTGTGGGGCCTGAACTCTGAGCCTGGGCACTGACCCCCAGCTCTCCACTTACCCACTGTTAAACTTCTATTCAAGACCAAGTATTTTTCCTTGATATCTGAGGTTTACAGCACAATTGTCCTTTTGTACAAAACTCAATGAAAAAGATATAAATGACATTCATTTATATGTAGGAAAAGAGGATGTATGGGTCTGACCACATCTGAGATGTATGACCAAATTTTAATAATATTCTGGGAGGGCGGTGACAATGATGGAAACATCTGGAAGCATGAATAGTAAAATTGAAGTGAGAACGGCTTGGCGAAGAGATTTATGTGATGCATGAGAATCCCTTATACAAGTGATGTCTACCATTTCCTTCATGCTAACTATTCTCATTACTAATCACATCCTAATGTCTTTAAATCTCAGTCATAGTATATTTATTATTTATTTATGTGTTTATTTTTTTTGTTGGTCCTGGGGCTTGAACTCTCGGCCTGGGTGCTGTACTGAGCTCTTTAGCTCAAGGTGAGCGCTCTACCACTTGAGCCACAGTACCACTACCTAAGTCATATTTTAAATGCTCCTTTTCATAACAGTTGTTCTGATAGTTCTGTGTTGTTGTATTGAGCCACCATGCACTTACATTTTTCAAAGCAGAGATCTAGGATCCTAAGATTCTACTGTCCTTCACTCCTAATCTGTTGCCAAGATGAGGTCCTATCTGAAATAGTTCTAATCCATTAACTTCTCATAGCCACTGCTATTTATAGGCATTATGATACAGTTAAGATCTCAGTCTTAAAACCACAATGCCTAGATTTGAATTGTAGCTCCTCCTTTGTAGCCTTGTGATCTTTGAGCAAGTTATCTACCTCTGTGTCAGCTGTAAAATGAAAGCAGGAATAGCTAATATATTTACAATGTATTGGGATTAAGCCAATTAGAAACAAGGCCTAAAAAAAGGCTCACAAGGGTATTTATTTCATCATGCACACCTCAAAAAACTTTCCAACATGCTCTACCTGCTTTTAAAAAGCAGGGCTCGTCAACCAGTGCTCCCCGCACCGGGAACATCAGCGTTCCTTGGTAACTTCTCAATGCAACTGTTTAGACCCCAACCTACATCTGCTAAATCTCAATTTCAGTCTCTGAAAGTTTCCAGGTGAGTCTGATGGACCCTAAAACTGAAGAACCAAAGTTTCTAAGAGCTAGGAAACTCCAGGGGACAGGCCAAGTCCAACAAGCTGTGGAACACAGCCATGTGGATTCACTGTCAATGTGCTTTCTTATCACATAGCAAAGTTCAGTTGAGTATTTAGGGCAGACACTGTCATGTCCACAAAGTTTAAGATAGTATGTAATGTCTACTGATGTCTGCCAACTTCATCAGTTAAGAGGATGAACCAGTGTGGCATGCAAAGTTCTGCGCCTGCCCATCTTCACACAACTACTGCTGCTATTCTCTCTCAGGCTGCTCTAGCTGTACTAAGAGCTCCAAATACTCCTCTGTATATGCTTCATTGTGCACAGTGCTGAGTCTTTTGCATTGCAATTCTCTGTCTTCTTTGAACATTTCTTCCTTGGAAAGTTATAAGCATTGTTTTAAACTTTTCTTCTCTTTTTGGCTTTGGCTAGTGTCTTTTTGTTTAATTATACTTTTAAACACCTCCCATTCCCCTTTCAGCTGTGAAGATCTTGAGAAAAGGCTCTATTCTAGGCTCAAGCTCATCTAGGAAGAGAGGGATAGCCCTTGATAATTGCTCAGTGAATTTTACTCTAAATGACTATAGGATATCAAAACATTTAAGCACATATTTTCTGCCTGCACATCAATACTTTAATCAAAACTTCTCCAACAAAAATCCCTGGACAGAGACATTAAAAAAAATTTTTTTTTTGTTTATAGCACTAAGGAATTGAGCCCAGGGCTTCATGCATGCTAGCCACATTCCCAGCCCCACAAAAAGACATTTTACTTGAACACAAAGAGCTGATATTAGGGAATTATATATGTTTTCAAAAGTAGTTAGCTTTTAGAAATAACTATATATAGCATATAGGAGGGACAAGATACAATTTAAAATGGAATTAAACTGAGTGAGTTGAGTAAAGTTCATGCTCAGTGATAAAAAACAAGGGAATTCATTTGATTTGAGATTTAAAAATCAGTAATAAAACTGAAGATATGGTAACATGGAAAAACATGATTATACATATAAAGTGATTTTCTTTTGCATTTTAAAAGGGTCTATATATAACAAGAAATCTTAGAAAGTTGCAAACAACCCAGCAAATACTGCTTGAAAAGGTGAGATGTAGGGAAGGGATTAAGGGAGCAGGAAATAGGGGGATTATGGAATTATCATAATGAAACTCCTTATACTATTAATATATTATGACAAACGATACTATTTTAAATTCCTATGTGTAAATTCACAAAATTTCATGTAATATGTACTTCCCTATATAAATTGTCTCTTTTTCTCTAAAATTTCATACATTTTCAAATAATATTCTGATGGCTAGAAGCATGGCTCAATGGTAGAGTGCTTGTCTAGCAAGAGCAAGAGGCAGGTCAAACTACAGCATAACTAGTTAACTGAGAGAAACAGTTAATATTCAAATTTAATGTATGGCAACTGAAAAGAACTTTTTGGTTTTAGGGATTTTTGTGTTTAGGTAGGAAGCCTTTTATTTCTTCACTGTGCTTCTGTTGTGTTAACCAAATGTGGCTAAAATGGTGGGTATACATGGAATTGTCATCAGAAATGCTAAAGTAAGGGTTCTCATATTTCAGAGAGCCACAAAATGTATGTGTGTGTGTAAATGGATAGAATGAAACATTTATTCCTGGTAATCAGCAGTAAAGAAAACACTTCTGAGTTTTTAATATCTGAGTCAATTTATAATTAATTGCTCTAGGTTAAGCAATTAAGAATTAGGGTACACATAGTTCACTCAGAAATTACTCCCTTATTAATGAATAACATTCCTCTTCCACAGCTGTAATTCACATTTAATTTGAACTAAATTCACAATTCATTGAATGTCTGAATTCTAATTAGTTTGGCCAGAATACCACTAAATTTACAATCCTTTATAGAATAAATCTTTATTTTAAAACCTGTCATAAATTTCTAGATACTGTTTTTTTTTTTTTTGGGGGGGGGTCCGGTCGTGAGGCCTGAACTCTGGGCCTGGGCGCTGTCCCTCAGCTCTTCAGTTCAAGGCTAGCGCTCTACCACTTGAGCCACAGCGCCACTTCTGGCTTTTTGCTTATGTGGTGCTGAGGAATCGAACCCAGGGCCTCATGCATGCAAGGCAAGCGCTCTACCACTGAGCCACCTTCCCAGCCCATCAGCATGATTTCTTGAATTACTATAGTGTCAAATGTTATACATTTAAACTTCTGTCACTATTAAAAGGAGCTCATGTTCTGGCTGCTCAGACTGAAACGGGACATAGCAACAAACTTGGGCAGTGCTGTTTTATTAATGACTAGGATACTCCTGACTCTAGTACAAGGTCTGCCTCATGGGAAACTAAGAACTGTAGTGTCTGAACAAAGACTCCAGTTAAGGAGGCCTTCCCTTTTGTCCTCCTGATGACCTTTTATTATACTAATTTCAGTAAGAGCCTGTGCATATCAAAATCTGGTATCTTCTATATATAGTTCTTTTATGTTCTTCAGGAACCACTTGTCTTTCTCATTAGAAAATTTAGTTTTATAGACTGTTTTGACTTTCCTATTTTTCCTTGAGGTACAATCCTTCAGAAACTTTCTAATATGCAAAATAGGTTATATGTGAGTTCTTGCTTAAGTCTTAAACACAAAAGTTTGCAGGATCTAATAAAAACACTTATAAACCCTGACATGCCTTTACTACTTTAGTGTACTTTACTACTTTCCTGTCACTTCTCCATTGAAGAATTCTTCCTTGCCAATTCAGAATATCAGTTCCTCTTTCTGCTTCCTCTTAATTTCTCAGAGTTGAAAAAGCCAACAAGATAAATCAGGAATGATAGTAACTTCTGCTTTTAGTGGAGTTAAACTTATGCAGGACACAGAGAATGGCATTATAAAATCATTAGAATATAGTATCTGCCCACTTTATAAAAATAGTACCTTCTATCATCAACATGAGTAGATCATTTGTAGTAGATTCCAAAGATAAAATGCATTCAATAATGCACCTTATTTTCTGACTGCCTAATTCCAAAATGACAAACTGCTCCCTAACATACAGACATTTAATTTTTCCTGAACAAAAAAAAATCTTTCCATTGGTACATTTCATAGGGGAAAAAAATAAGTGGCAACAAATGTCAGTGGTATTTCGCATTTACTAATCTCATTTAAAATTCTTTGTTCACTTGCTTATGAGTATAAGCTGGTACAATCCCAAATATTAATCTTGAAAATGCCTTTTCTCTCTACTTTTTTTTTCTTTTTACTGAGAACCTCTATTATCTTTTCTGCCATAATTATCCCATGATGCTGTCTAGTATGGACTTTAGGAGTTCGATTTGAGTATTTGTTGGCCCTCCCTTCTTTTTTCAACCTTTTCTTTCCGTTTCCTTGAGCTCTTTTGCCTTTTAATAAGAAGCACAAATTGGAGTTTCACTTTGTCCATCCTACTTCCTTCTTCTTTTTTTACTATGCACAGGATAACTTGTTTCTTTGCTCCAGTCAATTTTTAACTTTTTAAAAACAGAAATGATCACTAATGCCTTCAAGACTTAGATTAATCATTTACAATATAGAGGCTGATATGAGCCTAGATGATCTTTAAGTTTTCTATCTATACAATAATCCCTGTAGATGATTAGCCATATTGGCTCAGTACTTTTCTATTGAGTTGTAGTTCTTAAAGAGAAATTCTCAGTATCCCAACTGATACTGAATTACACAATCATCAAAAACCCAATGCCAGGATATATACACGGCTTTAGAATTTGATTAACAGAAGTCTCAGCTATAATTCATTCTGCCCTTCAGTCCTCATTCAGTTTTACCTGACTAATATAAATAAAATCAGGTTAAGAAACTCATCTATGTTTTAAAAGCTGTAGAACATAGAGGACTTAAAGTTGAGCACAGGAATGGGGCAAGTCAAATCAAATTTCTACAATACTATGTTGGTTCTATTTTTCAAACTTTCACAAGTGTAAGTTCATTGTAAAGGCAGACACACTGTAACAAAGCAAGGATACAACAACAGGAAAGTGCACTGTAGGCTTCAAATAGATGGGTAGCAATATCCAGTCTTTTAGAATCCACAATTTGTAAGTTGTTCACTAAGGCTAACTTATGCAAATGTGGTATAACAACTGAAAACAAAGAAAAGAAATTGTTACATTTTATCTCAAACATGCAATTCAAAACTCACTTATTTTACCAAAAACGATTTGCCATGTTAATTTGTAAAATTTCCTTTTGAGCCTGGATGCTTTCAAAAGATTATTCCCATCCTAGGCTTGTATCTTCTCACTAGGAAAGGAAGTATAATAAAATAAAAAGTGATTTAGGATTTGGGAAAAACAGTCACATTGCAATGAATAATAAAATTAAATCTAGTTTGGAAAATGTACATTTGATGTCACTTTATGTAATCCAATTTCCCAATTTTAAAAGTCAAAAACGAATGAACAAATATAAACAATCTTTGTCTTGTGTTATAGTTCTTACATGTAAATTTCTTTATAAAAATGTAATTGCTTCTAAAAGCTGTAATAATTGGGACTACTGGAGAATAAAATTTTTTACTAGCAACCAAACTGAGTTCATAGGTTAAACCTACAGCCTTCTCTACAACATGTGAAATTACAGAAAGTAAACGTGTTAAAGTATAACAGTGACAACAAACATGCTTAAAAATTTTTTTTTTTCTGTTTGTCGTGGGGCTGGAACTCAAGGCCTGGATGCTGTTTCTGAGCTTTACCACTTTGAGTCACAGCACCATTTCTGGTTTTCTGGTGATTAACTGGAGTTAAGAGTCTCAGGACTTTTCTGCCCTGGCTGGCTTTGAACCACGATTGTCAGATCTCAGCCTGCTGGACAGCTAGGATACAGGTGTGAGCAATTGGAACCTGGTTTATGAATATGCTTTGTAAGTAACAATTCTGGATATTCTGACGATACCCAAAGAACTAGTTGTTGAGGCTTATATAAAAGAACTAGGTTGAGGCTTATATAAAAGCAATGCTTTTGCAGATAATCATGAAGGTCCTTTAGCTTGACAAGCTGACAGTGACAACAAAGTAGTATATGAATGAGACAAATGACATGCTTAGTGGGAAAAATGAGTATTTTCCATAAGAATGTCTAGAAACATGCAAAAATTTCTAGATGCAGGGTATTTTGCAATGAATAGTTATTGAAGAAATGCTTCTAAAATAATTTTAAGTCTAGATTTACTTTTATATGATTTATAGCAACTGGTAGCTAGTATAAGAAACTTAACTCAAACCAATACTGATCACCTCACAAAGAATAACTTCAACTCAGTTTTTTTTACATGAAAGATAAAAGGACAGAAAGGCTTTAACACATGACAAATTCTGAGAAGCTTCTGGCTTTGAAAGCACAATTTAGGAAAAAAAGGTAGAAACAGGGAACTTACACTCATCTCGGAACCTGGGTTCTGCATTAGGCCCAACTCTACCAAACGTTTTTATGATCTCTGTGTGCAGAGAGTGCTGATCTTGATACTGAGGATCTTCCAGGAAAGAAGCCAGCTGCATTTTTACTCTTTCCAGCAACTGAAAATTAGATATTGAACTGTCATTTTCATGGAATATGAAAGTAGGTTCAAAATCTCATAATAGAAATTTGGGGATAATCAAGTAATGATGTAGCCTTTTAACTCAGAAAAGATTTCTCATTTTCGCTTATGCTTGTTAATTTTTCGTTTTTTTTCAAATGTAAATATTCCCTGACAAATTATCCCCTCCACAATATTTAAGTTGGCAAGCTTATGTAGATTTTACATGTAAGTTATAATTCATAAAACAAATCACAGCACCTATTACTCAATTACTCAGCTTCTGAAAGCAATGAGTCACTAATGACTTACAGCTTACTCATATTTCCCTAACAGACATTTTTATTTTAGGATTTAAGAACATGTTGAAATTCTGTCAAGACTGCAAACACTGCAAAATAGTATATTGCCTTTTTTTTTTGGTTGCTTTACTAGTGAAATATATAAGAAAAAAAAGGAAAATTTTTTTCTATAACAAATTTTTTTATTATAAAATCATAAATTGTTATGGTAAATGAATTTTATAGAAATTATTTGGGGGGTGATAATTTCATAAACGAATTTTCTCATCTGCATGGATGTTCACGAAGACATGTTTAACATGATATTGGAATAAAACCTAAAAAACTGGAAATAAAGCCAGTTTCAAAGCACACCTTTAGGGAGGAAGCACTTGGTAATTGTCTAAAGTAGACAAGACAAAGTTTTGCTTAATGATATATGCTGTAATAAAAGCTATGTAATTAATCTATTACGTGATATTACACTTTAGTGCCAATGATGTAATTATTAGAATACAAATAACCTCTCAATTTGAAAAACTGGAAGAGGAATTTGTGTTCCTAATATTTTCTGGTGAAAGTTTTCCCATCTGTGGAAATTGGCAATCAAGAAAAATGAGGGAAGGGGTAACAAGTTAGACAAGAAATGTAATTACTATCTTAATTATGTAACTGACACACCTCCGTGCATTACCTTGACAATAAAATAAAAAATTTTAAAATAAAAAAAATTAAAATTAAAAAAAATTAATGTGGATTGACCAAAATCTATCTTATCATAATAGAAGGCTTTGAAACAAAACTTAATAGTCAAAACTGTAATATTCAGATAGGCTTAAAATAAAGCATCTAGTCAGGCACCGGTGGCTCACACTTATAATCCTAGTTACTCAGGAGACTGAGATCTGAGGATCATGGTTCAAAGCCAGCCCAGGCAAAAAAGTCCGTGAGACTCTTATCTCCAATAAACCACTAGAAAACTGGAAGTGGCTCTGTGGCTCAAGTGGTAGAGCGCTCACCTTGAGCTGAAGAGTGCAGGGACAGCACCTAAGCCCAGAGTTCAAGCCCCAAGATTGACCAAAAAAACAAAAAAAATCTATGTAGACCTACACTTAAGTTTTTATTGAGAATATTTAACACATGGTATATGGAACAGTGAATTAGGAAAAGGAAACATATCTATATTAGGGTAGTTAATCATGCTTTAAAATACCAATACCTTCCACTAGTCTAAAAGAAATAACACAAAAAGGTTCTGATATGCCTTGCTTCAATTATTTCTTACCTCTCTTTGGATTACTGTTTCCATAATAGTGCCAAAGGCAGGAATTGTAGCAATCCTGACAGAGCTGTTAGAAATTAAAAAAAGAAACAAACTGAAACTCTCTTTGCCATGATTAAAAAGGGAGTATTATTAAAATGTGTATGAAAGTAAGTATAAGGTAAAAATACTGTATTAGTCTCTAGCAATGACAAATTAAAAATTTTAAACAGCAGACCAACAAGAATGCTCAAAAAGACAGGCAGGATAACTTAAGGTCGCAGTCTGTGAAACTCACAATTCAGGATCACTGGACAAGGTAACAAGGGCCGGAGCAACCCGCTTGTCAACTAACGCTTCACTCATGCCTCGAAGAGTCAGCTGTAAACCAGTCAACATGCAATAAAAAATGGTTTGGTAAACTGGAATGAGAACTGGGTTAGCTGTGACTGAGGATGGGCAGGCAGATTCACTGGCCTTTCTTGCTTTAGTCACCCACACGAGACATTAAAAATGTTAAGCCTTTGGTTCATGCCACTACACTTACTGATAACAACTGTTAGTGAGATTAGCAGAGCACCCTTTCGTGGCTTGGAAGAAATAGTCCATCAGCACCGTTTAGTGTTTGAAAATGTTTAGTGATTACTAACAGTTCTAATATAGATTGCTTTTATCATATGGCCTCCAAATTAGGCTCCTTTTTGAAGGCTGACTTAAAAAAGATTGCAAGCTTATATGTGAATAGTAACATGATAGATAAGGTTTAAGGCAAGTATAATCAATCTAGGATTATTATTTTAAAGAGATTCTTCAGTGAATTAAAAAGCTGATGGTTATTTCCTGGCAGGCACATTTTGAAAGGGATGCTGAATGTAAAAGGCAGCAAGAACACTTACATTTCAGGGTCACTGGAGAGAGTAATGAGAGCAGGAACAACCCTCTGAGCTACCAGAGTTTCATTCACCCCCTTCACCAACAGCTGATTGGTCAGCACAGGGGGTATTCACAGGTGATGCACGGAAAGAGCAAACACAGCGTGCCATGGGAAGTAGAAAGGAACAACCAAGAGGAAGAGAGAAAACACAAAAGCAAAACCAAAATTAGAAGCTAAGCAAATACGGCTACTAGAGTGCTTTACAGAGGCAGAGAATGCTTTAGGAGGAAAATAAAAGCTTTAAATAGCCTAGCAGTCCTTGAAAAAAAGATTTTGTCAACAATTTGATGGTAGTTTGTTCTTTGTGGTCAAAAAGTCTATGCCTTTCCTATGTTCAATACAATGCAAGAAAATTTTAGCTTTTGAAAAGAAGCTAAGGGGTTGAGGGCATGGCTCAATTGGTAGAGCTCTGCTCAATGAGCAGGGTATCAAGTACTGAGTTTGAGTGCCAGTCTCGCAACAACGTAAAGAAGCTAAAATGAGAATGCATATTAGTTGCTATGACTGAAATTCTCAGAGAGTGGAATTTTATTATTACCAACAAGGTACAAAAACTGGATTGTTCTTAAACCAAACTTAAATGGTGAATAGCCACCACTAAGCTATCTATGATTATTCTAAGCAAGTAAATTTAAAAGCCATATAGGAAAATTCCAAATCTTTAAGTCACCTAGCTTTCTCTTTGAGGTACAAAGACGTAACATAGCGTAATATTCAAGTATTATACTTAGGAATCAGCTCTGGGTTCAGGTTCCAGTTCTTCACTTACTAGCGGTATGTTCTTAGATTATATCACAAAATCTCTTGAAACTCAGTTTTCTCATCTGAAGATGATACTAATATTTAACTCAAAGGATTCTTGTGTTATTAATGCTATGCAAAATTTTAAAAAGTATGTATTCAAGAAATGAGCTTAGTTATGACTACTCCAATATATGATTTGTGATAGTTGTAAACAGAAATTCGTTAAAACTTTGGTAATAATCTGAGTTTTGAATTTTTCTCTAGAAGCTTAAGTAAAAAACACACACACGCAAAACTATGAACAGAATTAACCTGTCCCAGTCATAAAACAATTCACTAGCCAATTATAATTTTCAAAATAAAAAGTGAGAGAAGTATTTTATTTTTATAAATAATACTAAATTCTGTGTTAATACATATGGGTAACCCACTTCTCTACTCCACAATAGAAGCACAAATTAATTCTAAATCTTCATCTGTTCACCTACTCTTGGAACTTTCATCTTTCATAGAAGATGAAAGTATAGAATTTTTAGAAACAAAAAATCTATCCTTATGTGCATATACTGTGCATATAACACAGAGATAGAATAGCCTGCTTTGTAAGTGAATATACTAATTTTTGCAATAATCTCTACAATTTATAAACTGACTTATTCTGAAGTAATTGTTATAAAATAACCGTAGGTAATTAGGCTAGAATCAAATGAGCTTTAGTCATTACCTTAAATGTTACAGATGTCAGGTAGACAGAAATGAGACAATGAAGTTCAAATATTACGTAAAACTTCCTTCTCTGTATCACCTTATTATCTAGCTTATATTTGAATCTCACCCTCACCAAAAGCATTACAAAGAAGGTAGTATAGGCACAAGTTTTAACTTTCTTTTTTGTTTTTGGCTGGTCCTGGGACTTGAACTAAGTAAGGGCCTGGGCTCTGTCCCTGAGCCTCTCTGTCTCAAGGCTATTGCTTTACCCCTTGAGCCACAGCACCACTTCTGGTCTTGCAAACTTTCCTGCCTGAGCTGGCTTTGAGCCACTAGCACCTGGCTACAATTTAACTTTATTGCTCTTGGATCTTTTTTTTTTTCCCCCTTTGGATTGGTCATAGGGTTTAAACTCAGGCCCTGAGCACTGTCCCTGAGCATTTTCTCAATTCTATCACTTTGAGCCACAGCGCCACTTCTGTGCTCTTGGACTTTTAAGCTTAATATCTTAGGCTAGAAAATGAGAAAGTAAATTTAAGAACTATCAACTATTATGTACTTTCCATTCATTATTTGATCTTTATACCTGACGAGGCATACCAATACAAGAATCTTAGCAGATAAAGAAACTAAGGATTGAAGAAGTAATTTGTCCAGAGTTTTGAGCCAGTAAGTAAGTAGTAAAACTAGGTAATGGAGTCAGTCTTGTCTGACTTAATGTGCGTGGCATTTTCTGAGTTGCAGTCTAAAGTTACAGGCTCAATTTCCTCATGACGGATACTAGAAAGTGTGACGTCAAGCTCTTTCCTACATCTTTTGGAAGTCTATAATGCCCTACCTTATTTTGCTACTTAAAAAAGATAAACTATAACCTCTTGTTTATTTCTTTTTCTCTCCTTTCTTAGATCTGAAACTGGGACTCTAACTCATTATCTGACACTTTTGCTCACTGGCTAGAGCTCAACCAACTGAGGCATGACTCCAACCCCACAGCCTCCTGCTTTAATGATGTAAACAATATAACCAACTATGTTTCTTTTTGTCCAGAAACTAAAAACTAAAACTTGTTGTTCAATTTAAGTATTTCATATTAGGTTACTAATATATCTATTTCTTACTTCTCAAAAATTTTTGGCCTCACATTTTAAATAATAAAGTTATTTTATGGGACTGGGAAAGTGGCTCAGTGGTAAAGCCCTTGCCTTGCATCAATGAGGCCCTGGGTTCAATTCTTCAGCACCACATAAGCAAAAAGATAAAAGCCGGAAGTGGCGCTGTGGCTCAAGTGGTAGAGCGCTAGCCTTAAGCACAGAGAGACTCAGGGACAAAACAAAAAATTTCCTGAGCCTGTCAAAAAAGTTATCATAAATAAAATGGAAAAGTAATGAAATAGTCTCAAACTAGACTTAAAACTTCATTATCACTGTGACAAGACACAGGTGTAGTTAGTTTGCAAATCAGCACTGACAGCAAACAGCAAACCCAAACCAGACAAAGATACGTAGAGGAAACAAGACAGAAAACAAAAAACCAAACAAATACGAAGCAGGGCATTCTGTTATTAAATTTATGTAAATCATTTTCACTTATATGGTATGCCTCTCTAGTGCATATAATTCAGGGTTTAAGACAAAGAAATTTGTTTTAGGGTCTTAGAGTAAAATCCCACCAAAAAATTTAAAAAGATGCATTTTTTTCTTTTGAAGAGGAAGAGGATAATGAAAAAGGACGTTGTTCATGGTCATGTCCTCTTTTTAGCATAATGAATAACCAAAATGATTTATACCCAGGAGGAACTTGAGTAAACAAAAAAATATACACCAAACTTACTTTGGCATTCACCTCAACCCAGAGCCCTATTTGTATTTATATAATATTTATAATATTTGAGGGAGTAACATGGAAAGAGGATTTTTAACTTTCTGGTGGTAACAGAATTTTCTTTAGATTCAATGAGCCAAATTTATATATTAAAAATCTTTAAAGTTAGGCGCTGGTGGCTCATGCCTGTAATTCCAGCTACTCAGGAGGCTGAGATCTGAGAATTGCAGTTCAAAGCCAGCCCAGGCAGAAAAGTCCGTGAGACTCTTATCTCCAATAAACCACTAGAAAATTGGAAGTGGTGCTGTGGCTCAAGAGGTAGAGCGCTCACTTTGAGCTGAAGAGCGCAGGGACAGTGCCCAGGCCCAGAGTTCAAGCCCCACGACTGACAAAAAAAAAAAAAAAATCTTTAAAAGGCAAAATTTATAAATGAGTGTTCTATTCTTCAATCACAACTTAACATATTATGGGGAAATTTTGGAATTTACAAAGTATAAATTCATTCTTATGGGAATAAAGCACTTTAAGATGCTTTAAGATCACTTGCCTATCAGGGACAATTTAAGAAAAGTGTATACTCCCTATTTGTATTATTTTGTGAACAAATAGTATGGAGTAAAAATGAGGTTAATGCTGTCATTTATTATAAGCTCTACATTTATTATAAACTTCACACTGTTTTAAGAGATTTGCAAGCACGGATTCATTTAGTTAACAAAAATCTTCTGAGATGGAGACTTGTAGCTTCAATCTTCAATTTGCAGATGAGAAAATTGAGGTATGAAGCATCACTAGGTGGCAGAGATGGAAACTGAACCCAGGCATTCTGACTGTGTGGTAAAACTTCAAAGCATCAACAAACAGCAAACCAACTGAATGCTCTAACAGAAGTTTTAAAAACGTGTGCATTTGAAACTATACAAAGCTCTGGCATATTTGCTGTTTGATGAGTGCAAATGATATATTTCAGTTTTTATAGTTAACTTGGGTAGACAACAGTTGAAGAAAAACTAGAAGAATTGTATGAACACTCTCCTTGCTCTTAGAAGTCCATGGGCAGTGAATGCAAAGAGATGTTATTCCAGATATCTGGAGATACGGTTGGGGAGGATAAATATCTGTAATTGCACATACTTGACTTTTAACACTATGGAGTCCAGCGATTTGAAGAATATCCTTCTGTTTTAGCTTAAGTAGTCACTTATCTTAGTAAATAGAAAAGCATAATCAGAAACATTTATATGATGAAATTAAAATAAGATTTAAAAGAAAATTTGAGAGACAGATAGAAAAATACTGAAGGAACCAATCAGGCTAGAAAACATCCTCAAATGGGTCAAAACTAAAGTTCTGCTCCATCACACAGTACACAACTAGACAGTGTTCAATGCCATAGGCTACATATCAACATAATGTGGTACTGTAAAGCCTTACAAAAAAGGTTCACTGACCCTTTCCAGAGAAAGTCACTATAATGAAACCAACAGAAGTACATGTTGACATACCTCAAACATTCTAGCAGCAGTGCATCTCACAAGTGCTGAAGTATGGACAACACCATACCACAGAACAGTTAGCAGTAACTCATGGTAGGCCGGATTTGCACTAGAAGAAATACCAATGTTGAAACTGAGAGCCACAGGGCCTTAATGGTGTACTGAAAAACACTAGATATGGGAAATCTTTATGGTAGAACATATGGAATGGTTTCTTATGTCACAGCTAGGATTCAGTTAAAAAAGTAAGCTATTTTATAAAACTATAAACTATATCCAGAAACTACTTTAAACTTCTAAACATTTGCAACAGGGACAGAAATATAACTGTTTATAATGATAACTAGAATTATAAATAAGTCCTTGGTAGGACTTAGCTTTTGCATCTTAGAATGGGAAGCAATACATGTCTTATTTGTCACAAGGTTGCTGGATCAATGCATAGATGTTTATATGATATTTATATATTGGTTATGAAGCCTATCCAAACGAAAGATGGCATTATTAATAAATGCACGTCTGTTTTTCGTGAAGCTGAAGATAAACTACATTCGCAGCCAGATGATGTAATTCTGAGCAGGACTACATAAATCAAACACAACTGAATAAGGAGTCTATGGAACAGATTTTAAGTTACAGCTTCATCACTTCTGGGAAACCTAATATTTGTACTTCATTTCATTTTTTTAAAGAAAAAAAAGAAAATGTGTCAGCTTTAAGGAAAACATGCCTGTACTCTATCCCCCTTAAAAATTACAATAGATTGATTAAAAAATATCGAGAATATTACAATTTGGAATACAAATAATAAGTAAAACCAAGAAACAATCTCCAAAACCCCTCATGTCTGAAAAATATAAGCATTGTGTAATTAGTCTTTTTTACCCCAGTTCCACAAAAGAAGCCTTTAGGCTATCAAGAGGAGCATGAGACAATGAGAGTAGGGTCATTACATCTTCTAAAAACCCAACCAGCAGTTTTCGGTCTTCTTCCTACAGAGTAAAAATGATGATAATGAATTGCCAAGTAATCAAGTAGAACTAAATACCATAATGGCCTATCTATAATTAGAAAATATTATCAAGCAAGGAAAAAATACCCTAGTTAGAAAACTAATTTAATTGAAGATATTTATTAAACATATCAATGATCACAATGGTATGAGGAAAGATTTCCCATCTTTTTTGATTTGGATCTATTCTGTCCAATATGATGAGCATTAGCTACATGTGATTATGTTTAAATTAAAACAAGTGAAGCAAAGTAAGAGTTCATTAGTCACAATAGCTATAATATTTTGTTAAAATTTTAGTTCCCATAAATTTTGGTTCTTCATAGTTAAGTATAAACTAGTAAACAAATATCTTCTTAATTCGCAAGAGATTATTTTTACACCATCCCAGTGGCAAAAAACTATATATTTGCTGAACAGACTACTGGCATTTCTTGATTAAAAATAAACCTGCATTTTTCAAGCCTTCTTTTTTTTGGGGGTGGGGGAGAGTCCGGTCGTGGGGCCTGAACTCTGGGCCTGGGCACTGTCCCTCAACTCTTCAGCTCAAGGCAAGCGCTCTACCACTTGAGCCACAGCGCCAGTTCTGGCTTTTTTCTTTTTGCTTATGTGGTACTGAGGAATTGAACCCAGGGCCTCATGCATGCAAGGCAAGCACTCTACCACTGAGCCACCTTCCCAGCCCTCAAGCCTTCTTTAATGAACCATTATTACTTTTAAAATTAGAATTAAACCTTTATAATGGAAAAAGTTAGAAAAATTAGCTTATTTTTTACTTTATTGTGCCAGTCTTGGGGTTTGAACTTAGGGCCTAAGTGCAGTTCCTGAGTTGTTTTTTTTTCTCAAAGCTAGCACTCTACCACTTGAGCCACAACTCCACTTCTGGCTTTTTGGTAGTTAATTGGAAATAAGTCACATGGATTTTTCTGCTTGGGCTGGCTTCCAACCACCATGCTCAGACCTGGTATGAGCCACTGGTACCCAACTAGGAGTTTTGGTTTTTTTTTGCACTTTTAAAATCATGCTTAGTTATCCTGATTCTATAAGGAAAGGAAACTGGACATTATATTAGGAAAATAATACTAAGTTAAAATCAAGTTGTCAAAAGGCTATAAAATGTTAACAATTAATTCCTTCTGAATTTATTAAAAGATCCCCAAGGACAATCTGATTACTGTCCCTTATTGTTTCTACCTTGGTCATTTATAAATGAGGTTGACATAAAGGAGTGACAAAATAATGAAGTTCAAAAGAGGAAGGATGCAGCAGATTTAAAACATGGCAGTCGACATAGTGAAAAGTCATACGCAGTGACCAGCCAGCTTCAAGGCCAGGTTGGACACAGATGTCATCCTTTGTTACTGCCTAGTAAGCCAGATGGAATACACATAACTTTGGAAAGCAAATTTTGAGGCTGACAAAAGCTCTAAAGCAGATTTCTAAATGAGTAAGTATTCTTGGGTTTTGAAAACTTACTATAATCTTACTTCCCATTTTTTAAAATTTCGAAACAAGAGCTTATGTGATTTGAGTATTGAAGTCAGAACCTTGTATATTACTTTAGGAAGGTGCTCTTCCACTGAACTACATCCACAGACATCAAGATAATTTTTGCTTACCAACAGTGCTAAGATTTATCCTAACAAAAAATTTTGTTTAGCATGAAAAATTCTTTTTTTTTTTTTGTCGGTTGTGGGCCTTGAACTCTGGGCCTGGGCGCTGTCCCTCAGTTCTTCAGCTCAAAAATAGCATTCTACCACTTGAGCTACAGCACACTCCCTTAGCATGAAAAATTCTTAATGTGCTCCCTAAAATAAATGACAGTGATAGTCTGTAATACTATTTCAATTTACTGCTTTGTAATCTGATAAGAAATTCTTATCTTTAAAAAAGACAAGTATACAGAGATAAGATACAAGTTCTTATCTCTTTAAAAACATATCCAGTATTTGGACTTCATAGGACTCAAAAGACATGTCCTTAGTTAGGATAGATTCTGCAAATCTATCCTGAGAATTGACTGTCTTGTACCTATACTTTCTCCTGCTTTAAAATGATATTTATGTTAAAATCAAAATGCAAAACCTCAAAAGGTTAAGAAGAGAGAATGTTTGAATTAGACTTAGCTGGAACAGCTGCCATAAAATTAGCAATAAGAGAATGGCATACATGCTTATATGTGCCTGGTCCTATAATAGGACTTCATATTATTGATCTCCATAACTCTAGGAATACCAGAGATAATATACAACTCTATGTACATAGTTTCTGTGTATATCTGCATTATAAGGTAGACTTTGAAACGCCTGTAGAAGTTTTATACTGTGTTACTTTAACAAAGATGAAATTTCCATTTGTTAATGTGATACTAGAACTGTACTTAAATACTGTAAGATTACTCTTTTTTGGGAGGAAGATGTAGTAAATATGAATTGATGCATTTTGAATCCAAAGGATAAAAGAAGTTATGTTAAAAGAAGTGGGTAAAAATTCAACAACTCCCTAGAAAATGAGTTCCTTCTTCATTCAAATAAAAAAAATGTTTTAGTAAGAGTCCATGATATTCAAATATCTGTTGGGAATGCTTCACACTTAAATCTGACTAATATGCCTTGTAATTTACTTAAAATGATGTTAAGTAGAGTAATGGTGCTATACTGGTGGTAACCAAAAATGAACCACACTTCCTGGTACACATGTGTCTGAACCTTAACACACATAGTCTTACTTCCAGGCCTAACTCTTAAGTCTACCATTTAGGGAATAAAAAAATCACCAGGTATTAAGTCTAGTTTTCTGATGCATAGGCCTTCAGGAGAGAGGGCAGCCCAGTGACTACATGGACACAGAGTTTAGCCATGTGAAGCTGAAGCCCCATTTGCTGAACAGATTAGTGAAGCAGCATGACTAATCACTAGTTAGGCTATCAGAAGAGAAGTCAGTTAGGCAAATCCTCACACATTGCACAACCATGAACAAACAAAATGGTTTATAGCTATTACAAGCTGTTTATGTTTGGAGGTAGTTCATTATTTGTACTATGTAGCTCATTACAAAGTAAGGTTTTGTAGTTTGCTTCATCTAATGTGTATTCTGTCATTTATTATGCAAAATTTTATCATAAAACACAAAGAAACAGTAAGTGTAGCCTCAATTAAAAACATATCTAAAAGCATACAATCTCTAATTCATTTGTTCTGACATTTCACTCAGAACCTTAATGTTCAAATGCTCCCCATTATAAATAATTTAGAGTAAAATGAACACATAATTTTGTTTTTTCTTTTGTGCAACCATATTTTCACTTATGTCATCAGGACCTGGATCAACAGTGCTTGCCTAAATGGCAGAGCACTTACCTAAGCATGACAGAGGCCATGGATCTGATCCTTGATATAAAAGGAAAAAAAAGAAGAAAAAAATACACAATATTTTTCTAAATAGAAGGTGATTTTATTGGAGAATAAGAAAACTTCCCTTACCTGAATATAACACGTAAGGACTCCTGTTGCATAAATGGGGACTGTAGATTTAGTGAGGACCCCATTTCCTGCTGAGGAATCTAAAATTATTAAAATATTTTTAAAAGTCCAAATATGTTTTAAGTGTAAAAAAGAAACATGCAATTAAAATATTCACATTATTTTGGAAAACTTTGTGACCAAACACACTTTCTGTATTTGGCTTGTTGGTTTCTTTTTTGTTTTGTTTTATTTTTTTTAATCGGTCATGGGGTTTAAACTCTGGGCCTGGGCGCTGTCCCTCAGCTTGTCAGCTCAAGGCTAGCACTCTACCTCTTGAGCCACAGCGCCATTTCCAGTTTTCTGGAGCTAAGAGTTTCACAGACTTTCATGCCCTGGGCTGGCTTGAACCGTGATCCTCAGATTTCAGCCTCCTGACTAGCTAGGATTACAGGCATGAGCCACTGGTGCCTGGCCTGTATTTGGTTTTTGTTAAAATAAATTTTAATGCTTCCTAAAGGTCATTAGCATCTGAAAGTCATTTCTCATCTAGAAGATGAGAAAGAAATTTAATAACCAAAATAGATATCAACTTCTTATTTCCATAACCAAAATTTGAGGTTTTTTGAGTCTCCCAAGTGCTTACATAGCCAGGTTTTCCTCAACTTTTACGCTTTCAATTTGTACCGTTTTATTAAATGCAAAGGAGCTGGATGGAAAGCAGGCACATAGTTACATTTTATTTAACCTGTTTTCAGATATAAGGTTCTCCCTAGTTTTCAGCAGTTTGCTAAACACAGAGACTCTACAACATCTGCAGTAATTTCAGTGACATAGAGCTGATTGATTGTGTTCATAGAGGAAGGAATAATTGGGCTAAATAAAATGGGTCTGGGGGAAGAGATCTAACCATTTATGTGTCTAGAGACTGGCTTGCTTCTATAGCATCATAGTTCCAAAGATAATGAGGTGACATTAATAGTATACCAAAACAATTCTTATTTCCTTGTCATTAGGCACTACTTTGAGTACCTTAGGTTTGCTTCTACATTATTATTTTTTGTTATTCCAGCTCTATTTCTGTATAGTTTTAAATTATAAAGAAATTGAGTTGAAAAGATATATTTAACTGTCCTACAAGAATTTCAGCAAAAAAAGAAAGTTCTTTTTCACCTCCCTAAATTTAACTTTTTTGAGGTTTTAAATGGGGAATATTAATTTATGATGTTTATTTTACAATATTCAGTATCTTGAATACGTTACTTCAAAACTCCAAGGATCTAAGTACCTAGATTGAGAAGCTCAACCTTGGATTAAATTGGTTACAACAAAGGATGATAGTTATAATCAAATTGATAGTGATACTTATCACTCCTACTACAAGTGAAAGATATTTGATATAAACTAATTTGTAAAACTAATAACAATAGCTAAGAGACAAAAGTAAATACAAAAAAATTAAAAAATTCCCAAGCTGTAAAAACTATGGTTTACAGTGGTAAAACTAAAAACACTATAATACAATTTCTTGTTTTCAATTTTACTATGTAATGTAGCTATATTAAAAACATTATTTTCTCTGAATAAAGAGATAAAATTGTTTCTCAAAATAGCAATAGGCATACTTACCAATGTTTTCTTCAGACAGTCTTAAAATCTCCTGGAACTGAGGTTTTACCTAAGCAACCCAAAGAGAAAAATTTTAAAGTCTCAAGTCTAAAGAATTAATCCAATCAATGATTAAACAAAATATTTCCTACTGCTAATGCTATTTTATTATTTACTTTGCTTTACAGACTACTGAAATAGTCAGAAATGAATTAGTCCTTATGACTATTAGAATTAAAAAAGATACAGAAAACAACACCTTTGAGGATAAAAGTCAATTCAGGTCAATAAGTGTTTTCTGATGGCCGTTTGGTCTTTCCTAAATTAAAATTTCCAAAATGACTTAAAATGCTTAAAATTACTGTTTCTTAAAACTGAACTTGATGATAAAATGTTAGTTATTACATATTTATATACTATATATTTACATATACTATATATTATATGCTATACATACTATATTATACATTAGCTATATATACTATATAATTATATGCTACAGTAGAATATATACTATATGTACACATTAAGTATGTAAATACTATTTATTATATTCATTATAACATTATAGTATATATAATGTAATTATATACTTACATATATTTATGTATAATTTACATATATACTTTAGAAGTTAATATATCTAGCACTAGTTGTATATAATTGAAAGGAAAAGGAAATTCTATTAATTTAGGGTTTATACAGCTAACATTCATCATGTGATATCCATCCAATCGTTTACTGTAACTTTTTAGAAATTCAAATAACAAATAAGAGAATGTTAATATTTTAAGCTAATGCTCATTTCAGTATTTTATCTTTAGCACTAATCACAGATTTCAGACCACAGAGGAAAAACAGTGTGACATGTTCAAAGGTGACCCTCCCACCCAAATTTGCTTTTGTAAAAAACAAAACAAACAAAAACCTAAGTTGTTTAAGACATCATGAAAATTTTTTGCCAATATTTGATAGCAGCAAAATCAAAGTATTTAAATTAGACATTAACGAAAAGTATACACTGGTTTTGCATTTCCTACAATAATACAAAGATTTATCTTTTGCCTTCTTATCTATAGGCAGGCTTATTAATTTACATGTTTAACTTAAGCTGAGAGGCAGCCCACTGTTAAAACATTAAATCTACTAATTTACAGAACCAAACAAGCTGAAGCAACTTTTCCTTCTTTCCTTTCTCTCCCTCTTCATCTTTTTTTTTTTTTTTCCTTAAGCTGTCCTCATACTGGTTTTCCTCCTGTTCCAGCTTCCTGAGAGTTGCTGGTATGCACCATGATGCTGGCCAAGGCACTCAGATCATATAAGACTAAACACGGATTTTTAAAATCTTACTTATTAAGATAATAAATGTTAGCACTTAATAGGGCCATAGATTCTCTAAATTTTTCTAGTTTGTTTTTAGGTCTTTATATATTTTAATAACTACACATTTAATGGTACAGACATGCACTAAGAGATGCTTACCTTTTCAATGTCTTAATATTTGATTGTAACTATCCCTCCTCCCTTCTCCCCTCACCTCTCTCCTCCTCCTTTCTTGAGTGAATACTGAGGCTTTAATTCAGGGCTTTATACTCTTAGCTTTTCCTGTTCAAGGCTGGTGCTCTACCACTTGATACAAACCTTCACTTCCCACATTTTTTTCCTGGTTAATTGGAGATAAAAGTCTCTCAAAATTTGCGTGCCCTGCCTGGCTTGGAATCTTGATCTTAGATCTCAGCCTCCATAGCAGTTATGATTACAGGCATGAATCACAGGCACCATGCTGTAATGTTTCTAGTAAATCTAGAGAACTAAAGAGTATGCTACAAATTAGAATTAAGAAATTGGAATCTAAGGGCATTCCAATTTTAATACCTAAAACTACTATATAACCTATGTAGGTCAACATGGCAAATTATATTTTTATATTTTTCCTGGTACTGTGGCTTGAAGTCAGTGCCTTTCCTTTTCACTCAACTTTTGCTCATCACTTGTACTCTACAACTTGAGCCGTACAGAGGTTTGGCTCAAAATTATACCTTTGGTAGTAATTGAAATATAAATTTATCTGTGTACATGCTATTCCTAAATTGGTATGCTTGCAGCAAGCTTTGTAAAGTTGCTATGGCTCTAAAACCAGCTCAAGTTTCTACCAAATTTCTACCAAGTTTCTGCCAAGCAAATAGCTCCATGTAGAACCTGTTGCAGGTGAGGAAATATCAGAAGCACTGTTAAGGGAACGGACTTGAGTTCCCCAGCTGATACCATCCTATGGTAAAAACCTTGGTAAATCTTTTACTGAAGGCTAGGTACATATTACACTCAAAGTGAAATATCTTCTAAAACAATAAAGCTAAGAAGAGTAACAACTAGAATATTCTTTAACTATCACAACATTCTACTAAGGAAAAAGAGAGGGTTCAGGCTTTTTATTCTGTTATAGCATTTATGTCTAAGAAAATATGGAGTACAAGTTGTTACCTTAGTGTTGGTAAAAATTTTGCCAAATGTCCGGCAAAGGCGCCAGAAAAATCTGGAGAATTCATGGACACAAGCAGTTGAAGTAACATTAATTTTGCCAACTATTTCTATAAGTTGTGGCAACCTGAATATGAAAAGAAAGAATAGGCAGGTGATTCATATAAATTATTACATCCAGGATACTTTTTTTGGGGGGGAGGGTTCAGTCGTGGAGCCTGAACTCTGGGCCTGGGCACTGTCCCTCAGCTCTAGAGCTCAAGGCTAGAGCTCGACCACTTGAGCCACAGCGCCACTTCTGGCTTTTTTCTTTTTGCTTATGTGATGCTGAGGAATCGAACCCAGGGCCTCAGGCATGCAAGGCAAGAGCTCTACCACTAAGCCACCTTCCCAGCCCCTCATATAAATTATTACTTACTTGCCAATTTTTGGAACAATGCAAATCCAACACCTTCTACTATTTTGTTCTTTGAAAGAAATTGTTTGAAATGCTTTGAAAGATTTTAAGATTACATTCTACTGTACATACAAGATACTTTTTAACTGCCATAAAATACAAAAATCCGACTTCAAATTCACAGATTTGATATTCGACAACAGCTTGGCTACATGGCATCTATTTAGCCTCAAAAAGGAGAAATCTGGATGTAGTTTTAGAACTCATCACCAGTACTGGACAAACAAGGCAGCAGACTAGTCCTTCTGACAAACAAAGAGGCAGCTTTTCCCTAGATCAGTAATTACATATTCAGTGGTAGATAAAGTTTACTAGTGATGATAATGAGAAGTTGTATATAAAAATTATTTAAAACAATTATTTTTTATAAATAATTGTGCCCTCAGTTCCAAGGCTATTAAGAATCACTTTCCATGACTTAGGTATATCAAATGAACATGGAGTAGAAACTTACAATTGATTGACAACCCATAGTAAGCTCTCCCAGCCTGTTGTGCCCTCATGTTCTAGCTGGTAATCATAAAGTTGTAGTAGCACCGCCAACTGCTCACGGCTTCCAATAATGGTAGACACATCTTGCAGAGGTGACATAGGCCGAGGGAACCTAGTCACTATAAAACAAACAAAATAAAGCACATGGAAAATGGCACTTTGGAAATTTAGGTAGTCTTGCCAAAGGAAAATAAGGCCCTCTGATATTGAATTGGCATATGACAAATTTTAAATATAGATGTAAAACATTTGTCAGACCAAGCAGGGGGCAAAAGACCCAGAGTTCAAGTCTCAGTATCATCACACACATATACAAAAATAGAATAAAAATAAGAGTGCATGACATAAATATTAGTCAATCTTGTATAAAATAAATTGCTAATAAAATCATTTGAGTCACCATCATTTATGAAAACACAAATCTTCATTTATAATAAACTATATTCCAAACTACATATATATATATATATACACACACATATGTGTGTGTGTATGTATATAAAAGTACATAAACACAGATATAACATTTACAGCTACTGTTAAAAGTCAAAGAATAAACCCTGAAAATAAATATTATTTTTGTTAAAATGAGTTAATCACAAGAAGAGGTAATGTTTAGAAAGGTAAGAGTTCTTTTGAAACTGTTATCTGATCTCTAGTAGGTGCATGGCAACAACAGACATTCAACGATTATTTGTTAAATAAAGAAATGGTAACAAGTATAAGCAGAATTGAGTTTTCCTATCTTTCCAAAGCCTTAGGCTTGGAAATAAGATTTTGTCATACTGGGTTGAGTAGGGTAGACTCCTTATCTAATATGACAAAGGACACAGAAATAGGCACCAGGAATGACATGTTAAGATAGAAAGAGGTGATGTGTTTGCAAGTCAAGGAATGCTACAGACTACCAGCAAACTGCCAGAAGCTCAGGGAGAGGCATGGACATGCAACAGCTCTTCCCTCATAGCTATGAAGGAACCTATCCTGCTGAACCTCCATCTCAGACCTCTAGCTTCTAAGGTTGGAAGCTAATTCATTTCTGTTGTTAATCTACTTAGTCTGTAAGCCCTAATTGAGACAGCTGTAACAAACTAATATAGCCAAACCTACAAAGAAACAGGGAGAGAGAAGATCAGAAAGACAGGAGGAGCTTTTATGAATAAAGTGGGAGAATCAGAAGTGGACAGCTGTGAGTGCTTTATGAAGTTCTACCTTCAAATTATAAATCTTAAGAAGTTTGAATTTTTACTACACTCAATAATATCATTTTGTGGATGTGTGCACGCATGCATGCATGCATGTGTGGATGAATGGGGCTTCAACTCAGGGCCTGGGCATTGTCATTAGCTTTTTCATTCAAGGCTGGCACTCTACCACTTGAGCCATAGCTCTACTTTTGGCTTTTTGCTGGTTAATTGGCGATATGATGCTCAGTCTTTCCTGCCTGAATTGGCTTTTAATCACAATCCTCAAATCTCAGCCTTCAGAGAAGCTAGGATCACAGGTGTGAGTCACTGGCACCCAGTCAATAATATTTTAAAACATTAAACTAATCCCATTTCACCGACTGTTTATTTTTCACATAAATATGACATTAAATAGCACATGATAATTTATCCCATAGCTTCATGTCTCCTTGAACACTACTTCATAGCCCCAAGAATACAGTAAGACAAGTTTACTTGATATGAAAATTATACTTCTAAAAACATTGACTATTAGTGTTCTCAATGTCATACTTCTTTATCAGTAGACAGTAAAGATGGGTAATTTCACAAACCTGAAAACATCTACAAAGGTATTTTATACATGGCCGTAAGCTTATCTATAGCCCTTTATCCTGTTGTCTAGGGACAGTGGGGGTATCATCATGTGCCACGTATCAAAGGTCATTTACTGGCTACCTGGAGAGATAAGAAAGTACCTGCTTCTGTTAATAATTTCATGCTTCTGAAAGGAAATAACATTCTTTCTATTAAAAAACAGAAAATTCTACTACATATAATTGTATTCCTTTGAGGACAAAGCAGGAAAAGTATATTTACCTTACCCTATTTGTTTTAGATTGAAAATGCCAGGGAAGAAAACATGTAAAGAAAGTGAAATGACAAACTATATATACTGTTATCTGAATCTTTTTATTGATTCAGATCTATTCATGAAAGGAACATTTGTTCCAGACTCCTAAAGTTATAAAAAAAGGAATATAGAGTAAGAATGGAAAGTATAAATATTATACCATGAGGCACACCCATAAAGATGAAGCCACATAGTGTACCTTAGCTATTCCACATATAAAATACATTCTATTAATTGCATTGTGAGTTTTAGAATTTTTATTAAAAAAATTTGGTGCTAATAATATTCTACATCTTCCTTCCAGAACCTAAGTTCAGTACCTTCTATCTGTGGCACTTCACCATGAAGCTTGGCTTTGCTTGAGAAAGGTGCATTCTGTAGCACTAATGCAAAGAGAGATGGGATCAAGGACTGCAGGGCAGAAAGATACATGTGGAGCTTATGTTCATCCAGCCCGTGTTCTCCTTCCTGAAACATAAGGAGGTGGAAGCTAATTTTAGTCTTTTGAAATTACATTGCTAATTGGATTTGTGATGTTTTCCCTTTTTATGGCAAATGAAACATTTAAGGATTTGGATTCAAACACGGATACTTTGTTGGATTGAAAACATGACACTTAATGAAGATGGTCTATTCAAAATGAGAAACAGCAATAAGGCACTGTGGATGTAATAGATTCTTTTATATGAAAAAGTTTAGGGCGAATGCCAGTCATTTCCAATGTTAGGAACAATTTTTTTTAATATGTTCTCCTTTTATTAGAAACTGCTCATAATTTGTAATTTTATAAGTTAGGGTAAAGAAATTGATGAACCACAGGAATCATATTAAATGCTCAACTGCTAATTCAGCAGAAGTACTTGCTATATCCCCTCTTCTGCTGCCTATTGCCTTTTACAGTTTTGGTACTGAAAACATTTTATATTGCTTCCACACATAGATAAAATGTAGGAGAAGAAATTTTAGAAGGAAACAAAGAAAGAATGATATAAAGAATAAAAGGATTGGTATAGAGACAAAAGTGTTTACTGCAGTATAAATCTACATAAGATATCATTACTATATTAGAAATAACTGAAGAAATAACAGATAAATGAACTATTTACATAGTTTTAATTTCTACACAATTGTTATTGGCTGAATATTGCAGAAATTTTTAGTAGCATTGTGCAGTTAATAAGGTTAATGTTATAAAAACAAAACAAAACAAAACAAATAAAACAGGTATGTGTAATTCTTTTTTTGTCGGTCGCGGGGCTTGAACTCTGGGCCTAAGCACTGTCCCTCAGCTCTTCAGCTCAAGGCTAGTGCTCTACCACTTGAGCTACTGCGCCATTTCTGGTTTTCTGGTAGTTTATGGAGATAGAGTTTTACGGACTTTCTTGCCTGGGCTGGCTTTGAACAGCGATCCTCAGATCTCAGCCTCCTGAGAAGCTAGGATTACAGGCGTGAGCCACCGGCGCCTGGCCCAGGTATGTGTAATTCTAAGAAAGAATGCAAACACTTAAAAATTTTCTTTAAAAATTCCCTAGGTTTTGCAGAACAGTTACTTCAGTCTAGTTGTCTGTTTTTATATCCATTTTGAAATTTACAGAGTAAATCAATATATGTGACATAGAATTCTGAAAATGGAATAGACATGTCCAAAGTATCTACCCTCAAGAGCACCCAATAGGTATTTAAGAAATGTTAATATTGTGTCCTCTAAAAAAACTTTTAGAACAAAACTTAGATCAGGAAGTGTCTATCATTTCTTTAACTTTTCTGCAAATCTTTTGCTTGAACAGAATGTAAAGTTCTTAAGTGTGCAGTAGAATACAGTTAAAATAGGGCTGGGAAGGTGGCTCAGTGGTAGAGCGCTTGCCTTGCATGCCTGAGGCCCTGGGTTTGATCCCTAAGTACCACATAAGCAAAAAGAAAAAAGCTGGAAGTGGTGCTGTGGCTCAAGTGGTAGAGCCCTAGCCTTGGGCTGAAAAGCTGAGTGACAGCGCCCAGGCCCAGAGTTCAGGCCCCACGACTGGACCCCCCCCCCAAAAAAAATAAAATATAATAAAATAATTCTGATTTATAGAAATAAAGCTACAGAGATTCTGACTGTAGTTAGTTCTGCATTCTGCACTAGAGTTGGTGAATTTTGTAAACTAGTTAAGTCTTCAGAGAGTCAAGGAATGGCTAGCTTTCTGAATAATACTTCAGTTATTTCCACAAAGGTAGATCATGCCACTTTCCCCTAGTGTTAGTAAAGCAAAATTTCCTTCATTTCTCTTGGCTCCAGACCAACAAGGAATATAATATTCAGCTAAGTGGCACTTTCCGTTCCTCATTATGAGTTTTTTTTTTGTCTTTTCTTTTTTGGTACTGGGGATGGAACCCAGGACGTTGTGCTTGCTAGGCAAGCGCTTTGCCACTGAGCTACATCCCAGCCCCTCATTATGAGTTTAAGATAGCTTTAAGAAGAGTTATTGGTAAAAACTTACCCTGAGCAGCTTTTCAATCTTGTTCAGTAGTGTAGGTATAAGATGAGACTGTAAATTCCCAAGTTCTGTAGTCCAGGCAGCATAAGCTGGCAAAAATACTTGATGTGTTGCGCTAACTACTCTTTCTGAGGGATCACCCAAAGCTGACAGCAACAATTCAAAACCCTGCAAAAAAGAAGAGAGAATAAGGTTAAGAAGTTTAATCAAAAGCTGTATGTATCCATTTCAAGAAATTTACAAAAATATTTTAAGTAAGACAAAAAGCCTACTGATCTCCTTTTCTTGCCATGCATTACTGACAGACAAACATGGCATATCAGCTGCCAAATTCATGTTGAGCTTTACAAATTAAAAGCAGTCAAACATCCCCAGTGGACCAGTTGCTATACCTACATCCCTACTACACATTATAAAGTATCTGAATCAGAGGTGTGGAATTTTGTATTATCTGGAATTCTGTCAAGGTGTTAAAGAGGTTCATTTTGGAAAACATACCTGTTGATATTTGTCAGGATCATCAATGTATCCCATAATGATACCAAGGCTTTTGATCACAGCTTCTCTTACTAAATCAGCCTTATCTTCCATTAACATCTGTTGTAACATTGAAAGGACCAAGGAGCTACGAATTTCTTTCTGAAAATAATGGACATGATTTTACCATTTAGTTAGGGTAAAGCATAAAAGTATAGATAGAAAATAGCACAAATATCCATGTTTTTCAAAATTCATATTAAATAAACACAAAATATTTTGCTGTATTTGCTTTCCAATCTTTGCTCTCTCCAAGTCCCTACTCTTACCTTTCCTCTCTTAGTGGTAATAAGATCTACCTTGAATTCGGTGTTAATCATCTCTCAGCAAGTTTTTGTATTTTTGCTAAAAATGTGAAAATCCTCAACTCTTTACAGTGGCACACTCAAGCACATTTAGCTACTCAAAAAAAATCAACATTCAGCTATAACTAGAGAATGATTTTTCCTATCATCTATTAAGTACAGAACAGTGTTGAAGATTATAAGAGGAAGGAATTACTCTGACAATCAAAACAAATGCTAGGATGGGTTGAGAAATTATGAATTTCTGATGTTCATTTAAAAAAAATTTCTAAAGTGAGACTAGAAATTCAAGCAGGATAATGAAAGAGAGCAAACTTCAAAAGAGCTTTTTAAATGTGCAGCTAATTTATTATGGTACTATTTAATATAAAGTCAAACACCACAATATCTTGGTTCACAAAGATCTATTTTTTTTTGTTTGTTGGGGGGACTATGCTAGGGGCAAACCCAAGGTTTCTCACACATGCTAGGCAAGCACTCCATAACTGAACTATAATCCCAGTACCCACACAAAATTGTTTCTAGCATTTTGTTCATCCTAGATTTTTTTTTTAACCAACAGTACAAATATCAACACAGTGAAAAAGACCAAAAAAAAAGTATTATTATGAAAATAGCCTTTATATCACAGACCTCTTAGAAAGGATCTCAAGAACCCAGACCATACATACTCTGGTAACAGTTTACTGTTATATTCAACAAAAACCAATGATACTGTTATATACAGAAAAGAAATAAAGGTAAGTAATACCTATGTAAGTAAAGATAGCACTAACATGAGCCTTTCCCCCTTTTTTTTTCCTGGCTGATTTCTTTCCTTTAAGCTACACTGCTAGGAGAATTTGGAATAAAGTAGGTAAGACACTTGAAAAAAACATTTCTGTATAAAAACACAAATTTTTCAATGACAAAAGAATTCTTACAGGAAGGTAAGGTGCCAGTGCTCCACAGGATTCTGCTACAAGTAGTCGTCTTTCTGGGTATTTGTGATTAATCTACAGCAAAAAAAAATTAAATAAATCAAGCACTAACACATACACTCTCTTCTTCCAACAGAGAATTACTTTCACCATCAATCCTGGGCTGAGTGCTATAAGGCATGCTCCTTTTCCATTTCTTGAAATCGCTTTGCAGCTATATCTGGATCAGGAATAAGGAAATTAAGAACAGCCTAAACATGAGGCCACAGGGGTCATTTGTTAAGAGAAAAACCAAAGTTAAAATTTGGTAAGAGGTCTATAGACATTATATGCTTAAAACTAAGTTTTCTTTAGCATCTCAGGAGAAGCCAGGACCCATACCTAATGAAATTAACTTAAAATTCAGTTTCTGGATCTTACATGATATGGTCAGATGTATGCCAGTCTCTTACCTAAGGTAATAGGAAATAATTTCTTTAATAAATCAAGGCCAGCTTGAAGAAAGTATAGCTTTTGTGTGTGTGATGGTACTGGGTCTTGAACTCAGGAGCTGGGAGCTGTCACTTAACTCTTTGACTAGTAACTAGCACTGTAGCACTGAGCCACAGCTCTACTTCTGTCTTTTGCTGGTTAACTGTAGATATGAGTCTCAGAGACTTCCCTGCCTGGGCTGGCTTTGAACCTCAATTCTCAGATCTCTGCCTCTTGAGTAATTAGGATTGCAAACTGTACTTAGCTCTGGTTTTCTTTTTACAAAAACTTTATTCCTGTGTGTACGCGCAAAATGATGGGGCTTGCTACCGCATCTACTACACTGATTTTTAACAAAAAGTAACAACAACAAAAAGACACATACTGGGTTTTGTTCCCATATGTCTTCGTCATAGAATATAAATCTTTCATTGACTGGAAAAGAAGTATATTTGTTCTCATATTCCCATAGAAAAGATGACATAATTCAATAATATATTGGATCCCTAAAATTAAGAAAAGAAATTATAGAGTAATCTACTGGGCAACAAACGGAGGTAGGAAGCTAGGTAGATCTCTGAAATCTATGTTTATTCATGTTATAAAGAAGAAGGTGGTTTATTACTGATACCCTGGAATTATATTTAATTCAGATGTAGTTACCTCTAAACCAGAATGGCCTGAATGTTAATGGCTACTCATAAAAGATTTGTTCTGTATTGCTTTTGCCTAGATCAGTTAGTTACAAAGTTAAATGTACATATGAGAGAAAATCAATCATATTTATGTATATTAGCAATGAACAAAAAGAAAATCAAATGAATTTTCTTTGCAATAGCAAAGAGTGGAAATATTTTGATGTGATTAATACAAAAAAGATATAGAACTTATTTTGTGAAAATTATAAAATACTATAGCATGATACTTTACAAGACTCAACTGAATGTAAAACATTCTAAACTCATAGATTGAAAGGCTTAATAGAGTAGGATGGAAATAATCTCAGATTAATAGAATGATCCAATAAATTACTTGAAAAATCACAGCCAGTTTCTTTTCTTGTAGAAACTTACAAACTGATCCTAATAGTCATATGGAAACCAGACAGACCCATTAAGAGACAAAATAAGCTTGAAGTGTTAGAATAGTAAAAATTATAATAAATAAGTTTGATGGGAGAAAATGTTTTAGAACTAGTAATGGAGACTGCACACTATGATGACACTGAAACCAATGACTTGTACTTTTTAAATGGGTAAGCTAAGATCTATATGAATAAAGAAAATGGAAAAAAACTATAAAAAATGAATGTGCACATGAATCATGTATTATAAAACTGTGAATTCAAAGCTGATAAATTGTATCCAAGTTAATTCCAACTTTAGACAATTAAAACCTCACTCTACATTAATATGTATGAACATGTAAAGATATATATGGCACAATCACAGGTAATTGCTACTATATACATTATTCATTTTATTCATACTAAATCTAGTGGCTCTATCATATTTCAAGAAAATATGAATGCCCATTGCCCATATTTTTCTTAGGAATATGAGACTGTGCTTTCATAAATATGCCATATAATTTGTCTCCATAGGTAAGAAAGTCTTTTTTAGGTGGAAAAACAAGGTGCTTAATGATTTAAACATCAAGTAGATAGTCAAGAATTCTGAGTTCTATAGAGGACTAGAATGTTCAATATAATCTGAAAGTACTAGTACTAAAACAAGTTAAATTATAACCCAAAACCTCCCACATTCAAAGCTTACATTCCATATACTGTGTGCAACACAAGTATACAATATAGACAAGATAAATTGCTAACTGTACACATTCACAAGTATGTGTATCTTATTCCTCCTGGCACATTCCCACCTAAGTTCTGGTTGTGTCTCACTTTATTCAGATTCTTACTTAAATATCAGTTCCTTAAAGATCCATTCTCTCATCATTTGTTCTCTGCCCTTCTCTAATCCCTTTGCTGTTTTATTTTTCTTCAAAAAGCATTTTACTATAAGATAGCCTATTATTTCATTGTTTATTCTTTTCTCCCACTAGGGTATCTTGATCTTTTGTTCACCATTGCATTCATGGATGACTAACTATACTAGCAACTGGCACTGAAATTTGTGTTTTCTATGTATTTGTTGAATAAAGGAATAAAGCAAAGTACCCTAAACCATTCTTCAGCACAATTAAATCACAACTGTAATAACAGCATAATTTATATTCCATAAATTTACTAATCAGATTTTAAAAGATATTAACTATTGTAAGAAATTGGAGTGAATTAGCAATAGAAAGCCCAGTAAGTCAGTTTACCTGTTCCCAACACTGTGGTAAAAGTTCAGCTTCCACACGTGTAGGTCCAACATGACGTGCAAATGCCACACAACCTGTCAATATCATCTGCCTAAAAAGGATTTTAAAAAAGACAGGAGAGATATGTATATCCATTCAAATACAGAACTAGGTCCAAGTTTTGAGTTAAGCTAGGCATTGTTCAGTGCTCTTGTTCAAAACTATAAAATTGCAAAATGACCCAGTATGTCTTTGATGTTGTACAGCAACATATAACCCGTGATAACCTTGTAAAGTAACTTTTTCCTGTGTTTGGGACCAAATCCAGTGTCACGTGCCACCAGTGAGCTATATAAACCTGAGCCAGTGACTTTCCTTTATATGCATCTATTCTCTTTGTACCTCAATCAAGATGGTTTAATCACTGATTATTTCCTAATGACTTAAAAACAAAGAGTGACATCTACCTGACTATAACCATAAGATCCAGAAGCTAGATTTTCCTTTCCTTTTCTTTTCTTTTTATTTTGTCGGTTGTGGGGCTTGAACTCTGGACCTGGGTGCTGTCCTTCAGTCTTCAGCTCAAGGTTATTGCTCTAGCACTTGAGCCAAGCACCACCTCTGGTTTTCTGGTGGTTTATTGGAGATAAGAGTCTCATAGACTTTCCTGCCTGGGCTGGCTTTGGACTGTGATCTTCAGATCTCAGCCTCCTGAGTAGTTAGGATTACAGGCGTGAGCCACTAGCACCTGACTTAGAAGCTAGATTTTCTAAGCTAATTTTCCCTACTTTATTAGGGAAGAGTCTTGACTTCTCCTAATATCCCAAGGAAAGCCCAGTCAAAGGCTATTTAAGTGTCTATTTCTCAAATTTCCCTTTGATATTCTATTGCTTTTTCTATTCCACTTTTTGAAGACAGATAAATTTAAATGAAGCAAGAAATTCCCAAGCCACGTTAGCTGTCTTTTCCCTTATGAAAATTCCATTAATATCTAGGTATTATTTTTGCCCCCACACCACACATACAAATGTGTATTCCACAAATGTCGATAATTATGATTAGAAAACATACTTGTATAGAACTTCAAATCCTGAGTCATCATTACTAATTGTATTAAAGATGTATAAACTTTAATAGAAAAAATTTTAGATCCCTTCAAACAGAGCTATTTAGTAGAGCTAAATAGAAAATATGATAGCTTTGAAATGCAGTTCAAAACTGAAAGGTTAGATGGCCTACAAAGTATTAACTGAATTGGAATTAGACTTAGTAGTTGACAGCAAGAAGAGTAAGATTGTTTGGTTAGTCAATGACTTAGGTTAGATATATGGTGTCAGTTAGAGTTGGTAACAAAGTACCAGAAAAAGCACCATTACTGAATATAAAGTTAAGTTTTTCTCAAGCAAGGAAAAATAACTGGTTGTATTTGAAAATATCATGCTAACTTAAAATATTTGCCTTATTTACATGTAATATTGTTAATCAACTGATTGATCTATTTTAGCAGTTATATTTCTGCAGTGTTTTGAAACCCTGATGAATCTCAACATCTTACTTTCATGAAGGCAAATAGATATTTTTGGCCACTAGGTGGCAGCTCCAAACTTTACATACAGAGTATAAAAACAATCTCAGTCTGGTTTTTGCCTTGCAAATCAAAAGATAAAAGTATAATTCATGGTATTTCATTATCAAATTACCAAGATAGATTACAGTAGTTTTCAGAGATGAAAACAAAGTCTCACCAAATTATGCTTAGGAAAATTTCAAATTGCAACAGCACTAACATAGTTAGTGGTGGGATGAGGGGAGGTGGACTAAATACTAGTTAGATTAAGATAATGTAGCTAAATGTATTTATAGACTCATAAAACAATATTTTTGTTTCTACATCATAAGACAATAGAATTGTACTGATAGACTAGAATTGTATTGAATAAACTAGAATTAGAATTCGGTAGCTTTATATAATTTAAGTAATTGTTAGACTGTTTACATTTTTTGAGAAGGTTTGAAATCATAAGTAAATCAAGAGACAAACGACTCACAATGCAAGGAATTTCTCAACTAAGAGTGTTCAAAAAAGTCTAGTAAGCTTTGAACTCTATAGTACATCTCTCCTTCCTGGTGTTGACCAAAATATACTGGAAAACAAGTGGAGAAACATATCCTTAGGATTCAGACAGGCTTAGGCAATACCAGAAGCTCTCACATGTTAGTCAAGCAATGGATATACTTACATTTTGTTCATTATCATGTATTATAAAGTAGTAGTGAAGTTTCCAGAAATTCTTAAAACTATATACATCTGAGTGAATGATTCTTCAATCCTGCAAGTAGCCAGTGAATACAGTGGCATATTCACATTTCAAATTCATTATTCATGACATGGACTCACTTTTCAGGATTGTCAAATCTGTTGTACGTTGTATGCCTTCCATGTACATTTGAGAATCTTGCATATTTTAACTTTCTTTTGGGTATTTTCTATTATTGCCAATGTTGATGACAAAATACAAAAATTAGCAAGTCAATATTGTATTGAGGTCCCAAAGAGGTAAATCATACTCACCTTTGCTCATCATCTGGTCTCTTGATCAAGTTGAAAAGAATATGGAGCAGCTGATCTCTCTCTTTAGGCTCAGGATGTAGGCACGCTGTACATAATATGAGGGGAATCAACTCCTACAGAAATATGAGGGTGAAAAAATTCAAACCAAAAATGCATGACAGTATTTTTAGATAGACATTTAAACTTCAACATACAAAGTAACAACTTTTAATGTTGTAATACTGATAACTCAAAACACAGAAAACATTACATTAATATATTGGTTATATAAAAAGTGTAAGTCACAATGCATTAAAAGCCACTTAAGATTCAAGTAACTTTACTTTTAAATCAGTATTTCCCCGGGGAAATTTATTTTATAGTAAATAACATTCCATCACATGACAAAATAATATAATAACTTTAACTCTGAAAGTGCTTTTAAAAGAAAAGTTGAAGTTCACTATATTTTAAAACTTAAAATCATAAAATAAAAGCAACTTTTCCTGAGGCTAGAAGTTAGTTCAGTGGTAGAACACTTGCCTAATATTCTTTCTTTCTTTTTTGTCTAATATTCTTAAGGCCCTGAGTTTTGCCCCAAAGAAGCAAGAGGAGAAAAGATAGGATGGAAAATGGAGAGAGGGAGAGAGAGAGAGAGAGAGAGAGAGAGAGAGAGAAAGGGAGAGAGAGACAGAGACAGAGAGACAGAGATAGAGACAGAGAAACTATTTCTATAAACAATGAATCTTCTCAATACTAATACAGAATGTGAGTAGAAATATTTGATGTTAAATTGCAAAATTTTAAACAGCATTTTGCCAAAAATAGCCAAAAGTTTATTCTTTATAGACATGTTTGAAATTAAACTTGTTCTACATTTTAACATTCAAATGTTTTGATATTTAAAACTAATGAAATTACAAGTCCAAAAAAAGAGAAAATATTTGTAGAGAGAAATCTGTCAAGCTATATGAAATAGTATTCTGCAGCTATCACAAAAAATTCTAATACAATAAAGAGAAAAATAATTATTCCCTTTTTTCCCATCTACCTCAGTGCCCACTAAAAAATTCTAACAGATGTAAAAGAAGAATTATTATGTAATAATGCATGAGTATTATCCATATGTAACTTGGAGAAAAGAACAATAAAGTTTTCACTGTATGAAATATATTTTCTCATATGGATATGATTCTTCAGAAACAGATTAGAGTTAGGAATTCTAAAATTTGTTAACTTACACTTTGTACTCTTCTTAATCACAGTGATAATTTCTATTGTCATTTCTTTCTTTCATGCTGGCAAAATTAACAATATATAGAAAGTCATTGCCAGTAAGATTTGGTTGATATTCCATACCAGAGAGAACAATGAATATCCTGGCATGCTAATTGCTATTTCAGATATAACACAGTATGGTAAAAATTCCAGAACACTTTTCCTGTTATATGTTACACAGACTTGAGCAGAGGTCTATAAAGTGACAATGGAAAAATGTACTTTTATAAATTCAGCAAGGATTCTTGATAACAGTGTGTGTGTGTGTGTGTGTGTGTGTGTGTGTGTGTGCATGTGTGTTTATGTGTGTGTGTGTGTGAGTTTATGTGTGTTGATCCGAGGGCCTGAAATCAAGGCCTGGGTGAGTCCTTGAGCTGTTTTGGTCAAGGCCAGTGCTCTACCGCTTGAGCCACATAACTTTTTGCTGATTGATTAGAGATAGGAGTCTCAGGACTTTCCTGCCCTTGTTGGCTTCCAACAGTAACCCTCAGATCTGCCTGTCCTAAGGATTGTAAGTGTGGGTCTCCAGTATCTGGCTCCTAATAGCATTTTAACTGCTAAGCTGGAGCTAGCTCTAAATATACTAATATCACCACTATTCAGTCATTAACAACCTCGGTATGCAATACTCTTCAATAATGAATTCTGCAGGTATCTGTTGTGCTATTTATTCACATTTATTGTGAATACATCTATTTATTTGAAGCACTAATATTTCTATACCCTAAAACTTATTAAGATCATAGTTATAATTTTCACATGAATTATAGACTTAACTACTGGAATCAGTATTTTGTTTTTGGCGTTCTAATTGCAGAAATTTAGTCGTTGAAAAGATACCTTATAATAATTTTGAATTCAGCATTTAAATATGATGCTATAAATTTTGTTCTGAATATAATGTGATACTATTTAAAAGATGCCTTTGTAAGATTAAACATAAAGGACATTTCTTGAAAATATAAATATAATATAAAAATAAAAATATAATAAATATAATAAAAATATAAATATAATAAATATAAAGTAATGTAAAATATTGTACCTGAAGTTTTCTATTAAAAAAACTATTACGGTACTAATACACCAATGGTACTTACAACTCCAGTGGTAAACATTAGATTGAAAAGATCATTTCTGGAGAACTAGAGGTATGATTCAAGTGATAGAATGCCTCCTAGAACATGCAAAGTCCTAAGTTCAAACACCAGTACAGCCACACACAAAAACAGGTATTTCCCCCGACAGGGGAAAATATGTATTCCTATTTCCAGGCAACAAGGATCTTATATATTGCTTTAGCAACCTAGATTTGAGACTTTTTTTGTTTTTAGACTAGTAAAGGATTAACATTCAGGGAAGTATGTTAGTTTATTCTGACTTTTTCAATTTTAATGACAAAGATAGTTGTGAAAATCTCCTACCTCTCGAGTGCTATGTTATCTGTGGAATTAAGTAGAAGAGATTTCTAGTATTTTAATATTTATTTGGGTTTTACAAGTAAAGCAAGTAACTTCTAATGATAATACAGAAAGGTCTTTCTTTAAGAGACTGCAAATCTCTTTAGAAATATTTGCATATGCCTTCATATTGAATTATCTTACTTTTAAAATTTAATTTTATTAATTTACTTTATTGTTATTATTTATTATACAAAGGGAATACAATTACGAGTCAGGTAATGAGTACATTTCCTTTCACATAGTGTCTTCTGTTCCTTCATTCTCTCCCAATCCCTCCTGTCTCCACCCACAAGTTGTATAGTTCACTTTCATCAATGTTGAGCAAGTTCTACTGCAGCACTTCTTCACCCTTTTTCTCACGAGTTCTATACCCATACCCAACCCTTCTGAAGATGTACTCTCTTGAATATACCATAAATAAGGTAAAGGTGGCAGAATTATTAACAACTAAAAACTTAAAAAAAGGAAAAAAAGGAGAAATCTTGTTTCTCTATCTTTGAGTTCTTTTCAGTATGCATATTATTTTATATAAATATGAAGAAGCACTCAGGCATTGAGCCTTTGTGTTTTTCTCCTAAGTTTCCTCTTTTGGTCTCACTGTGTGTGAATATCTAGAACCCTATATAATTTATTGTATCCTAGTGGATTTCAGATTTAATTTCTGTGTATCAGAGAGAACATGTGCCGTTTGCCTCTCTGAGCTTGGCTTACCTCAATATGATTTGTTCTAGTTCCATCCATTTCCCTGCAAATGACATTATTCTAATAGCTGTGTAAAATTCCATATAGGTACCACATTTTTTGGATCCACTTATCTATTGTGGGGTGTTTGGGCTGTTTCCATATCTTGGCTATTGTGAATAGTGTGTAATGAACATATATGTGCAGGTGTCTTTATCACATCCTGGCTCATCATGTTCAGGGTAGATGCCCAGGAGTGGTATGGCTGGGTTATAGGAAAGATGTATGTTTAGGTTTTTGAGGGATCTCCAAGACTGCTGTGCAGAGTGATTGTACTAGTTTACATTCCCACTAACAGCACAGTAGGGGTCCTTTATCCTAAATCCCTGCTAACATTTGTTGTTGCACAAGTTCACAATGTTAGCCAATCTTACCGGGGTGAGATGGAATCTCAGAGTTCTTTGGATTTGCATTTCCTTTATGGCAAGGGATGATGAGCATTTCCTCACATGTTTCTTTGCCATTCTTCTGAGAAATCTCACCTTGGCTCCTTTTTCCATTTAGTGATTGTTTTTTTAGATTTGGGAGGGGTTAGTTTCTTGAGCTCCTTGTATATAATGGCTATTATGCCTTTGTCTGATATATTACTGGTAAAGATCTTTTCCCAGTTTGTTGGCTGTCTTCCTAGTTTAGTAACCATGTCCTTAGCTGTGCAGAGACTTTTTATTTAGATGTAGTCTCACTTGTCAAGTCTCTCTTCCATCTGCTGTGCCCCTGGGAGTCTAGTCAACAAATTTCTATTTATACCTGTAAATTCTAATGTTTCTTCAACTCTCTTGAAGTAGTTCAAAGTTTTGGGTCTGACATTGATGTTTTTGATCTACTCTGAATTGATATTAGTGCATGCTGACAAACAGAGATCCACTTTTAGTTTTCTGACTATGGCTGCCCAGTTTTCCCAACACCATTTTTTTCCCCCTCTGTATGTCTTTGGTTCCCTTACCAAATATCAGGGAACTGTAAGTATATGGCTTTATTCCTGGGTCTTCTATTCCATTGATCTTCTAGTCTATTTGCTGTTTCTGTTATTATGGCTATGTAGTAGGGTTTGAGGTCTGGTTTTGTGATACTACCTGCATTACTTTTTTGACTAGAATTGCTTTGGCTATTCTAGGTCTTTTGTTGTTCCACATGAATTTTTGGATTGTTTTCTATCTCAGTGAAGAACATCTTGGGATTTTGATGGAGATTGCATTGCATTTGTCATTTTTGGCAGTATGGCCATTTTCACAATATTCATTCTACCTATCCTTGAACATGGAAGGTCTTTCTATTTCCTGATGTCTTCTTCATTTCTTCAGATTTTTCTAGTTTTTGCTATAAAAATCATTTACATCTTTGGTTAGGTTAATTCCTTGGTATTTTAACTGTTTTGAGGCTATTGCAAATGGAGTTTTCATAATTTTCCTTTTTGCTTATACATTGTTGGCATACAGAAAGGCTACTGAGTTTTGTCGGTTAATTTTGTATCCTGCTACTTTGCCAAAGTGGTTGATCAGCTCTAGGAACTTAAGGATGGTTAACTCTTTTACTTTTAAGAACAAACATAAATTTTTTCCTATGTATAGTCTATTTTCTTAAGATTGTATGTGGGTATTTTGAAAAATTGTTATACTCTCACTGGAGAATATAAGATCAGTGTGTTCATACTAGAAAAATGGGTACTGAAACAGTAAAAAGATAAAAAAAAAATTGAATCAAAGCTTTTCAACAAAGAGGAAGTCCCAAGCCAGATGGCTTAATTTATGACTGTTACAAATTAATTCAGGAATCAACAGCAATTCTATCCAAATTTGAATTTGAATAGAAGAGGATAGTACTTACACATTTTAAGACACTCTTAGCCTGAAACCAAAACTAGACAAAAACTAAACAGTGGTTCAAAAGCTATGTACATATGAATATGCTAAGCGAAATGAACCCCAAGATAGGGACACAAGAGTTGTTTTTTTTTTTGCTGTTGTTTTTTATGTACTATGTGATTTTTTTTTCTTTTGTATGTTCTTCCCCCATGGTACAACCCCTGTTGTCATTGTATTTGATTCTCGTGCCCTGTATCTTGTATATACATATATCTAATTTGGGGAGGGGAAAAGAAATAACAAAATTCTGTAACAAGGATTCAGGTTGACCCACTGTAACAATGTGATGTTGAAAATGAACTTTAAACTTGGGGGAGGGCAGAGAGAGGAGAGTTAGAAAAGTGGGGAGGAAAGGAAAAGTAGGGGAAAAACAAAGGAGGGGGTAACAATGCTCCACAGGAAATGTACTCATTACCTTATTCATGTAACTATAACCCCTCTGTACAATCTTCACAATAAAAAGTTTTAAAACATGAACATATTATCAGTAAGTCTAACATCACATTAACAGAGGAAACAAAAATCCATGTATCATATCAAGAGTTGTAGAAAAAGTATTCTGACAAAATTTCAATGCTATGTCACAAGTAACATTCGGTAAACTAAACATGGAAAGAAATTCCTTAACATGATGAGGGTTATTTATAAAAATTCTATAGCTAACATCAAACTTAAAGACAAAAGTATCCCCCGAAGATCAGAAATAAGAAAAGGATATCTGTTTCCTCCTCTTCAACAGTGTCTTGGTAGTCCCAGTCATAGCAATTTAAGGAAGGGGGTGGGGGGCAGGGAAGGTGAGCTATCTAAAGTGTAAAGTATCTATTTATAGACCCCACAATTCAATCAGCAGATATACAACTCATAAAATCAAAAACAAAAATGTCAAAAAAAAACTAGCACTGAAAAACTGTTTCTGTAAAGATCAAAACACACGTATGTTATGCTTTTTATATACTTGCAATGAACAATTCTAAAAAAACACTTTCACTTATTGTTCCAACAAAAAGAATACCTACAACTAAATATACTGAGAATAAAAAGACTTACACACTGAAAATTATAAAATACTGCTCAAAAATAAAAGACCTGAGTAAACAGAAAGACATCACACAGTCAGGTAGTGGAAGTCTTAATGTAGGCAAGATGGAATACTCCCAAAGTAATGTAACATTCAATGGAATACCTTTGAAAATTCTGAAGACCTAATTTGCAGAAATGGAAAGCTGAGCATTTATTCACATAGAACTACTCAAGATTCCCTGAATAACCCAACAACATTGAAAAACAAAAACAAAATAGGAGGATTTATACTTCTCAATTTCAAAACTTAACAATAGTAGTTAGAACAGTATGGAGGTGGCATTAGGACAGAATTGAGGCCAGTGGAAGAGACCTCAAAGGCTACAACCAATTAAATGCTGAAAAAAAGTAGGAAGGTACTCAATCAGCAATATTTTGATTTGAACAACTAATCTAACTTTATAAAACTAATAGAAGAAACTACAGAAGTAGAAATTTTTGGCTCTGAATTTCATGATGGATTCTTAGATCTGACATCAAAAGCAGAAGCAACAAAAGAAAAAATATGTATCAAATATCATGCACAGGCATATAAACACTTGTTCATCAATAGATGGAAAGAAAATATGTATAACCTACAGGATGAAAGAAAATATATTTATAAATAATTTATGCCATAAGGGTTAATATTCACAATATAGAAAGAAGTTCATATAACTCAAAAACATGAAAACAATCCCAAGCAAAAACTGGTAAAAAAAAAAATTAATATTAGCTGGGCGCAGGTGGCTCACATCTGTATACCTAGTTACTTAAGAGGCTGAGATCTGAGGTTTGTTGTTAGAAGCTAGCCCAGGAAGGAAAGTCCATGAAACTCTTATCTCCAATTAACCATACCCTGAGTTCAAGCCCCAGTAGATGCACGCACACAAACACACACCAACTATGTAAATGTATTTGTTAGTTAAAACATTAAACCTGGTTTCTAATGTTTTATGTACACCTAGGATATTATGACTTTCAGTTTACTCAAGAATGTTTTAACTATATTTATATGCCAATAAAGACTTATGCTGACAGAAATGTATAAAATATGAGAAGTAAGAAAAAGTCCAAATATTAACCCTTCAATCACAAGTTTTTCAAAATATGGATTTGAGAAACCTTGGTGAAATAGTAACAAGTATTTCTATGTCAATGAATAAAATGAAATAAAGTCTGTCCTTTTTTTCTCATAGTGATGAGAATTGAATTTAGAGTCCCACCAGTGCTAAGCACATATTTAGAGATTTTATCCTTTCATACCTAGGGACATGTTTAAAACTAAACTAAGGGCTGGGAAGGTGGCTTAGTGGTAGAGTGCTTGCCTTGCATGCGTGAGGCCCTGGGTTCGACTCCTCAGCACCACATAAGCAGAAAAAGCCAGAAGTGGCACTGTGGCTCAAGTGGTAGAGCTCTAGCCTTAAGCTGATGAGCTGAGGGACAATGCCCAGGCCCAGAGTTCAGGCCTCACAACTGGCAAAAAAACTTAAGACATTTCATTATCTATTAATTTAATTTTGAGAGACTGTAACTTTGTTTTTAGCAAATTTTCTAATAAAAAAGAACAAGGTGCAAGTAAATGATCAGAAAAGATTAATTCTTCATGATCCTTTAAATATATTTAATACTTTTGAAATATAAAAAAATTGAAACCAGTGGGAAAGTAAACATACCACAAATTAGATATATGTGTGCTTGTAAATACATATATATCTATATTTAGAATGTATTTTATTACTGATGATGCAAATGTATAAATACTTCATGCAGGGCAATCAGATTTTATTGGTCGATTCTTATGGTACTATGTACAACCACTGCAACTCATGAAAATTAGGTTTCTGTAACACTGAAAGTATAGTAAGGAAACAGAGAAGGGATGCAAACATCAGTGCATTACATGGATTATGGTACAAGCTGAAAGAGGACAGCAGCTCAAACATCATTCTGCCAGGAAGAACTGCAAAACAATCGGAAATTGGACACTGATCCTTCAAGACATAGAAAACGTCCATACTTTTTAATAGCTTATAACTATGGTTTAAGTCATTACATAAAAATAAAACTATTAGTAAGAATAGTGTTTTCAACCTTTTTTTAAAAATCAAAAAGTTCTAAAACTCTACATATACTTTCTCGAGGATCAGTACAAATTTCTTGTGCTTAACAGATATTAAGGATAAGCCTTAAATGGGTGTTGTCAATGCATTAAGTACCTATCATACTGTAGGTCCCATGAATTATGAATAAAACTAATGACATATTTTTAAATATTCTCAATGTACTTTTTATTAAACTGAACAATTCAAATTAAGAACTTATTCGCAAAGCAATTTTCATTCATCTTTTACTGGTTAGCAATAACAATTTGATCATAACTTATAAATGTAATTATAAAGGTAACTTCCCAGAGTGTTTATGGTTTACCACATAGGCTTTGCTAGCTAAAGCATTTGTTAACAAATTAACTATATCTAAAACTTAAGATGACCATTCTATGATTGTAAGTGCAATTCATTGCCAAACAAACATTATAAATCTAAATTACAGTAATTATAAATATAGTTGGAAAAGTGTTATATTATTCTTAGTTTTTTTTTTTTTTTTTTTACCAATTTCAGTACAGTCTTCACTTCTGCAGACTAATCAGGCAGATCATAACAAAAGTACAACCAGTAACACAAAACAGTGTACATGGCATAGAAATGGACCTACAGTAATAGTGTTGCAGAAGCTAATAATGCTTTAAGCCAAGTTGGAAAAACATGAATACCATGCAGTTTTACTCAACTCACCTGACAGAGGTGTAAAACCATTCTCTAGGAGCAGAGATGCATGCACAAAAGTAAGAATATGATTGCAAGTAACAGACTTTAACAAAATAAAAATATAACACTAAACTTCAAAAGGACAAAAAAAAAAGACAACATGATGAGATTCTTTGGAGGAAAATACTCTTATGCGTCTTACCTCTCTCTTGGCCAACAGCACATTAGGAACAATGTGGGGCAGGCAGCGCCCCAGCATTAACATAACACTTTTTTCACTGTCTGCAATCCGAGACACCTACAGAAACAAAGAATCAGTAAATGATTCAGTGGAAGACTTCTGTGCAGGATGGTAAAGTGGACATTTATGCTTTGGATTCTGTCACTTCTGCTCTAAGCACACACTCCTATAGTTTAACTTATGTAGAGGATAGCAATAAGAATAGTGTCCCCAAATAGCGTCAAGCTTTTCAGTGGGCCAGAAGTGAGTTAAATACGCTACAGTAAAAGGGATAAGAGGAATAATTATTCATTGTTTTATAGTGCCAGAAAGCATACCCAGAGCTTCATCTGGACTAGCAAGTGTTCTAGAGACTATATCCCCAGCCCCTAGAATGACTTTTTGTGTTCTATATAATACAGTAGGATAACTAGTGTGGACTAGAATTGAGTATTTCAAACAAGGTAGTAGATAGACTGAATTTTGAATATTTTCAACAGGAAGAAACAATATCCGAAGTAATAGGTAAGCCAATGTAATGTGATAAGATCATAGATAGTACTTTGTTTTAATGTATAAAATGTCACAATGTATCCCATAAACATATACAGGAACTATGTATCAGCAAAAAAAGAAAGATAAAATGAAATATCAGCTATGAAGTTCAATTAGTAGGCTTAAATTCTCCGAAGCTATAGGAATACCACAGATTTAGGCAACCTTCTCAGTTTCTTCTTTAAAATAATATGTCCACAAGAATCTGACCATAATGAAGTTGCATACAAAGGATGGCTCAAGGAAGCTTCTTTGATATTATAATGAAGACTGCTAGACTGCAACTTAACTCATCAAGGGATCTGAAAGACCCAATAACATTTGGAAGCAGGGAGCCTATGAAAGGTCAAGTGGAACCAACAAAAAGTAACTAGAAAGAGGAGGGAATACAAAGTACAAAACTTGTACTTTGAAGAGGGGCCTAAAACAATAGAAAAGAGTTAATAAAGTCAGCTACCAAAGCCAACCAAACCACTTTTAATAAAATGAAAATAATGGAGTTACCTAAATAAACTGAATATAGATGGTGTACCCTTAAGTTGTTTTTCTGAATTATAGCTAAAAGATGCCATAGTTAGACATACTATATTTAAAAGAGATTAGGAGCTGGGCTCTGGTGGCTCATGTCTGTAATCCTAACTACTGAGGAGGCTGAAATCTGAGGATCATGATTCAAAGCCAGTCTGCTCAGGGAAGGCTAAGAGACTCTTATCTCCAATTAACCACCAGAAAATCAGAAATGGAGTGTGGCTCAAGTGGCAGAGTGCTAGTCTTGAGCACAAAAACTCAGGGATGGCACCCAGACCCTGAGTTCAAGCCCCACAACTGACCAATAAACAATGAGATTAAGAAGAGACACTTTAGTATTAATAAATATAATCCAAAAAAACCCCAGAATAATCAACTATTTTTTAAAATAAATTTAAAGTTTTAAGTGCTATTTTTTAAATTTTTTATTATTATAAAGGTGATGTACAGGCGGGTTACTGATATGTTCTATTTTTTTGAGCATTACTTAAAATTTTATAGATATTTATGGACTTTAAACAGACTTTCTATATCAGACTTCAATATGAGACACTAAGAAGAAAAATAATAGATACGGTTACAGAAACTATAAGAATATTTGGTGTTATTTACCTCTGATCCTAAACGACTATCTGCTGACATTCGACAAAAAGACAGTAATGCCTGGTGGAAAGCAGGAGACAATTTCCTAAACAAAAAGATGGGATGAAAAGGAACAGTATCAAAGAATCACCACTGACTGACACTGAAAAAGTAAATTGCATATTCTACCTCCCATTTCCGTATTAATCCTAACTCACAAATGTCAACTAGATATTTTAGCACCAGTGACTTAAAGAACACTTCACTAAGGAATTAATACAGGAGAAAAACATCAGTTGATATTATGTAAAACAAACAGCACTTGAAATATTAGTGAAAAAGTGGTAGGGAGGGTCAATGATAATATATCTGTAAAATCTATAATTGTGACTTTGTCTACCACCCATTCTTATGGTCCCAGAAAGGCTAGCAAAGACAGATATAAGCCTGATATAGTAGGATGAACTGAAGTTACATTGATAAATACACTATGATAAACTCTAATGTTAGAAACCCACGTAAAAGAAAAAAATTTTTTAAGATAAATGAAGAGGAGATGCATTCAACATTCCTGATATAATTTAAAAAATAGTTGGGGAGGGCAAGAAAAATATTAACCTAATTATATTGAATAAGTGGTAAAATCATCTTTATTTCTAAAATTCATAGGCTCCTGTCTATGAATTATATGCTATATGCTCAATCTGGAAAGAAAAGCTAACATTAAAAATTACAGAATAAAATTTCTTTAGAAGATACAAGGAACTGGAACCCATTGATTTTCCTGATTAGAGTGGCATGTCAAGGCTTGTATCTTTTTTCTTCTCCTTTTTGCCCATCCAACAAGGAGGGTCCAAAAGCCATCCACTTATCCAAGCTAGAAACCACAAATCAGCCTGTCTTTCTCCAAATAATCTCAACATGTAATTACCAGGCAAATCTGTTTCTTCAATTCATTCCCAATCCTCAATCATTTCTTATGTGGATTCCTCTACTATGTACTCTATCAATCAATTTTGTTACTTTCCAATTAACTCTACTTTGGAGGAACCTTTCAGAAAATGAGCTACCATCACATTCTAAATGAGATTTAATCTTCACTTAATTCTCCTTCAATTTTCATTTATTTCACTTGTATTCTTTACATAAACGTTACTGATTCTTCTTTGCTTCCCTCAACACAAGAGTTCTCTTGACATACACTGTTTTCAATGGGAAGTGGGAACACTTCCTCTCATACCTGCCTAGTTAACTTTTACTTGGGTCTTCAAATCTCAGAGTTGATGACAATTCTTCCATGAAACTATTCCTCTTTAGATAACTAGGTTAGGTGACTTGATTACATGTTCTCAGAACAACATTTATCCTGGCCTTAACTTTCTGAGAACCTCTCAACTAACTAGCCACAACATAGATATTTATAATTATATCTATGCACATTAGATTGAAAGGGAAATACATAAAGCACTAAGAACTGAAATTATATGTTGACATGAAAAAGCTCAATGAACATTCATTCCTTTTTTTTTTGTCGGTCGTGGGGCTTGAACACTGGGCCTGGGCGCTGTCCCTCAGCTCTTCAGCTCAAGGCGAGCCCTCTACCACTTGAGCTACAGCACCACTTCCGGTTTTCTGGTGGTTTATTGGAGATATGAGTCTCATGGTCTCTCTTGCCCGGGCTGGCTTTGAACCGTGATCCTCAGATCTCAGCCTCCTGAGTAGCTAGGATTACAGGCGTGAGCCACCAGGGCCCGGCTGAACATTCATTCCTTAAAGTATCTTTTCAAACTGGGCTGATTCTTCAGTACCACATAAGCAAAAAAAGCTGGAAGTGGTGCTCAAGTGGTAGAGCACTAGCCTTGAGCTGAAGAGCTGAGGGACAGTGCTCAACACCAGAGTTCAGGCCCCATGACCATAACAACAACAACAACAAAGTATCTTTTCAAACTGTAATCTGAAGGATTTAAAAATGCTTTGTTTTCTAAAGTAGAAAATATGATCATGTACTGTGAAAGCAGGGGTTATACCTTGGGGGAGGGACATACAAAGCAACAAAGAAATAATCTTATAATTGTGTTAGAAACAATCGCATGAAAGAAAAAACATTTGAATACATGTCTTAGGGTTCATTTCCCTAACATCAACTTATCTGACCTTTTCTGTTTGACTCAGACATATACTAGTTATTGCAAATAAAGGAAATCATGGGACCTATGTTTCTTTGGGCCTGGCTTACTTCACTTAATATAATTTTTTCCAAGTCTTTCCATTTCCTAACAAATGGTGCAATGTCATTCTTTCTGGTCATTCTTTCTGATGGAGGCATAGAATTCCATTGTGTATATATACCACATTTTCTTGATCCATTCATCTACTGAGGGGCATCTGGGTTGGTTCCATATGTTAGCTATGGTAAATAAGGCTACAATAAACATAGTCGTGCTGGTAGCTTTAGTGTGGTCTTGTTTGTGAACATTTGGGGAAATTGGTGGAGGGGAAGGGAAAAAAACAAATCGTTTAAACAGGGATACAGGTGGAACCATTGCAACAATGAGACATACAAGTTGTTATGTCGAAAAGAACTTTACAACTTTGGTGGGAGGGGGAGGAGGATTAGGTGCGGGGGAGGATTAGGTGGGGGGGCAGAGAGAGGATGGGATGGGAAGGGGAAACAAAGGAGGAGGCTACAATGCTTGATGAGAAATGTACTCATTGTCTTGCCCATGTAATTGTATCCCCTCTGTACAGTATTTTCACAATAAAAAAAAAGATAAAAAAAGAAAATATGATCATGAAGGGCAGAGACCATATATACATACATATGTATGTATTTATATCTATATTATCTATCTATCTATCTATCTATCTATCTATCTATCTATCTATCTATCTATTATCTATCTATCTATCTATCTTTCTGTATAAGCTCTGAGGTTCAAGCATTGTAACTCAATAAAAATTAAGGGAATATTGATAGAAGAGTAGTGATAAAAACAGGTAATAAGCAAAAGGTCTGGCAAAAAAACTATTTCCTTTCTTGGTTATGGCCAACTCTATAGCACTAAAATTTCTACTGAGTTTGATAATAATTGAATTTAAAAAAAAGCAAAAAGCAGTGAGTATCCAGCTATGAGGAGAAAAGCACAAGTAAAAGGATCACTATCAAGTGTGGCCCTGGTACAGAGAGCCTATCTTGAAATAATCAATGTAAAAGGGCTGACAGAGCTACTCAAATGACAGAGCCTACTGTCAAAGAAATACAAGGCACTAAGTTCAAACTTCAGTTCTACAATAAACGAGAAAAAACAAAACACTGATTAGAAGTGGTAACAGTACATAGTATCACATATTATTTATGGGCTTGAGTACTTGGCCAACTAACACTTAAGCCCAATAATCTAGATAATTTATCATTTATTCTTCTAATAAAATTTAATTTAGTAATTAAATTACTCATATTACATATACTTTGCTATACGTTGCGTTCCTGTCTGCGTAAAAGTTCATACACATAATCTACAAAAGCAGTTCAAGAACTGAAATTTTTCCATTTGACAATGGACTTAAGTATAAGATGTATTTCAAAATATGGGAAACATACTAACCTATTGGGTTTATCAAAATGAACGGCATTTTTACTTGATGGAGAAGAAGATGGAATTCCTTCTCTTTCTCTCCTGGGAAAAGAATCTGAGGAATTTTCTTTAGGAATAGTGGAATCAACTTCATCTGATACTGACAGATGGGCTTTCTGCTTTTTACCCTGGTCAGAACTATTTACAAGTGTACTCTGTCCACTGTCTGTAGAGTCTTTGGAACAAGGCTGATCCAAGGATGGTTGAACAGCATCACAAACTGCTGGTATGGCAAAGCGTTCATTTCTGAGGAAGTCCATTTCACTGCAAAATAAAAAGGAATTTTGAAAACCTTGACAATAGTAGCAACTTCATAGAAAATATTTCATATTAACAGCAAACTATAGGACAAATGATAAATTTTTTCTGCACAACCCACTGATGTTTCATTTACATAAAAGTATATCCATAAACAACTCAGCATTAAAAATGGCCAGATTAACCTACTTTTAATCAGTACTTACCTTTCTTCATACACAAAATAGGGATAATATCACTAACTCCAAGATTATAAGAATTAAATAAAACAATGAATGAGAGCCGGGCGCTGGTGGCTCACGCCTGTAATCCTACCTACTCAGGAGGCTGAGATCTGAGGATCTCGGTTCAAAGCCAGCCCGGGCAGGAGAGACCATGAGACTCCTATCTCCAATAAACCACCAGAAAACCGGAAGTGGCGCTGTAGCTCAAGTGGTAGAGGGCTCGCCTTGAGCTGAAGAGCTGAGGGACAGTGCCCAGGCCCAGAGTTCAAGCCCCATGACCGACAAAAAAAAATGAATGGGGAATGTGTAATACTAATATAAAAGTAGTTATTTTACTCTGACACAATTCAAGGTAAGTCAAAATACCTTACACTTCTTACTTCAAAAAACTAATAGATTATAAAATTACTGCATTAAATTTTACTATTTTAAATACAGAAAGCAGTTATCACACTTTCTATTAGAATTGTTACAATGTGAAAAATTATGCTTTACAACTTGCCAAGATTTTAGAAATGATAACCAAGGACTAACCTTTCAAGTCTTCTGATTTGCTCCATCAATGACCATTTCTCACTATTTAATAAGCTAATTTTATCTTCTAGTGTCTGTACTAGCAAGGAATTCTAAAATCAAAGTAAGAGAAAAACAGAAATTTAAGATCTCATTGTATGCTTCTGCATGAATATGTTTTGTGGACAGTCAGTTCGCTGGTGTTTCTCACCTCATCAGGCTGAGGGGTATTCAGGGTTGGAGGAAGAAGGCTACCTAGAACTGGTGTAAGAGCCTCTAGCTCATCTTCCTCTACTCCACTGGCCACATCAACAAGATCTTTCCCAGCCACTTGATGATTCCCGAAATCTCGATAAAGTTGTAATAAGTCTGGAGGTTTTGGAATATTTAATCCTACATCATCCCATAATTCAAAATCCTAAAAGATAAAAAATAATAACATAAAAATACCTTTATCTTGTATTTTTAAGTCATATTTTTATTGTTAACATAAAATGTTATGTTCTGCTCCAGAAAATACAATAAAACCACAATTTTGTTGTAATGTCAAGCTATATAATTCCAATTACACATAATACTTAAGTTTATGCTAAATATTCTATTGTCTATTATTATTCATAAATTCTTTTTTACTTTCTAGTAAAAAGGGTTGGTGGCTTAGAGGTTAATGTGTTCTACTTACAACTTTTTATTAAATCTATCAAAAATGTAAAAATCTTGGGCTGGGAATATAGCATCAGTGGTAGAGTATTCATCTTGTTTGTATAAGGCCCTAGATGAAATTCCTAGCACTGAAAATAGGCAAAGAAGAAACTAAAGTACATTCTTAACTTTATAACCTGGGTTAATTTCAAAGCTAACAAAACATGAAGACAAAAAATATATCAAAATTAAAAAGGTCTTCATTCATAATTTTTTACCTATTATTTAACCTATTATTTACAGGTTACAAGTAAACTTGCTAATGATATTTTGTTATTCATTGTAACAACCTACAAGTAATTTGTGTGGTCTCCTGGGGTTAGTAATCAGTTTAGTCAACATGTCTTCTCTCTGTTAATGTTTCCAATCTAATTTTCATGAGTGAAAATGCTTTTGGCCAAGTTTCAAAATCCAAATAGTGGCTTTTCTACTTTTAAAGCATTCTCTTTAATTCAATCTAACATAACTTCATTAAAACTACAAAAAGATAAAGTATTCTGTGGACAAAGATTTTTACAAAAACCTTTTGAAGTTCCTAAGTAATCAACTGCACTCAGAATCAACTATTTATACTTATTTATACTTAAAGAAAGATACAGCTGGGTTAAAATCTATCATCCTGTTCTTCTGTTAATGTGTCCTTCCTATTTTCCTCTTTCTGCAATCTTTCTGGATTCTCAAATATTTTAAAGTTTTCCCTATTCATTACTTAATTGCCCACTTTCAAAACATGATTAATGTAAACTATCATGCTAGCATAGTATAGTATTGTTAGGTAAATAGCAAATGATTTTGTCTTTTATGAAGAACATGTTTGGGACAGCTAATAATTAATAATTACTAGACATTTATACCTATAAGCCACATAATGACATTTTCGTCAGTGGCCCCCCAAAATTACATATCTAAATGTCATAGCCATGTGAGTCTGTGTAAGTACATTCTATGATGATATCTGCATACTGATCAAATTGCCTTATGACATACTTCTCAGAAAACTGTTAAGCAACACACAGTTGTGTTATATTTAATTTTTGTCAAATATATGATAATAACTGAGGAGATGAAGTGCTATATCCCTTAGAGCATTTCAATTTTTGCCAAGAGATCGATCCATGGGAGATATGCATCAATGAAATGACCTTCATTTAAAATCTCAAATATTAAAAACTGCTTTATGATTTTAAATATCCTATTTTCTCTCTTATGGGGAATCTAGATTTTTTTTTAATAAGAAAGGCACATGAACAAGAAGAGATTTTATACTTTATGAGGGGGGAACCAGAGGAGGTGGAAGAGGGAAAAGAGGGCAAGGGTGGAATAGAATGATCAAAGTCTGGTTGTGTGTGTGTGTGTGTGTGTGTGTATGTGTGTGTGTGTGTTTGCGCGTGTGTATGAACACAATGAAACCCATTTAAAAACATCTGTAAAAAAGTTAAAAGTTAAAAAAAATAGGTACCGCTTATCTAAAATCCATGCACTAGGGAAGTGAATGCAGGAGGATTACAAGTTGGAGACCAGCATGGTCTCCATAGCCAGTAGAAGGCTAGCATGGGCAACATACCAAGACTGTTTCAAATTAAAAAGGGGAAAAAAGAGGGAGGGAGGGAGGAGCTGGGGTGTGGAGCCTAGGAGGCTAGAGGCTAACAAAGAATAATGAATGAAGCATGGAAGAAGCAAATGTAATCACCAGACATTATATAAACGGTGCAAATATAACAATAAACCCTTTTGCACTTTGTATAATTCATATACTCTAATAAAACAATACTTTTAGAAAGAATAAATTAGAAATAAATGGAGTGATGGTCTCTTGGATCTGGGGGTGCAGCTTAGTAGTAAAGCACCTGCCCTGCCTAGTACATACAAGTCATGCGCAATACAAGCTCAATCTCTAGCATCACATAAAAAGTAAATAAAAAGTGACTTCTTGATTTGCATACAATATATACTCTGGCATTATTCTTCAAAAGTATAAGACTGAACTAGAGCAGTAATTTACCAAAAATTTCTAGAATTGAGAGATGATATCAAAACTAGCCACTATTTCTTTGTGTACAAGATTTTTAACAGAATAATCTTTTACTTAATATTAAATAATATTTTTACTTATTACCTATTCAGAATGATTGTGTTGTTTTCATTCAAAATATTTTCCAATTATTGTATCAACTTACAATATACATCTGTTATTGGTGGTACTGGAGTTTTGAAGTCAGGGCTCTAAACTTGCTAGGCAGGTGCTCCTACTACATAAGTTCTACCTCTAGCCCCTTTCTGGTCTGGTTATTTCTGAGATAGGGTGTTGTTTTTGGTCTGAGATGGCCTGGAATGTGATCCTCTTATTTATGCATCCTGCTTTATCTGGACCGACCAGAAGAATGGTACTAAGTCCACCACCTATTGGTTGAGATGAGGGGTCTTGTAAACTTTTTGCCTAGGCTGGCTTTAATATTGATTCTCCCAATCTGTCCCCTCAGTAGCTGTGACTGTAGGCATGAAACTACTAGCACCCAAAGACTGAGTAAATATTTTACAGTTAAAAAAATGCAGACTCCATGAAAACATGCAAATGTGTTTTAAGTAGGAAGTCGTAAAAAGCTACCTGGAAAGAATAAAAAAGTCTTTATATGTAGAAAGCTTAAAAATCAGCAAAAGTCTATATGCCAGTGGAATATACTGAGTAAACTGGGATTGTTTTGGTAACAAGCCTTATATAATTTTACTATAAGTACAACAAAAAACAATGCAACGAAATAATAAAGTAAATGATAAGTTAGAAAGGAAATCAATCTTTTTTTAAAGTGACTTTACCTGGTCATCGTTTTCATCTGAAAATGTTATTGATGTAAGCTTGTAGTTATTCTTCAATAAAAATTCATTGACTAAGAAGTTTAGAGCTCTCTTTTCAAGAGGTTTGATTGGCTCCTGTAAGCAAAATAAAAGACAGATGAACAAACTGTAAATTTCCTCATTCAATATTTGTGCTAAGGATCTATATGAAAGATACTTTTAGATCTATCACTGACCCACCTGAATTTCAGGACTTGATTTGTAATTTTTTCGTTCCTGTAAAGGAACTTCATGTTCTGGTGAAAGAAAATATAATGTTTTATTATTTTACCTTTAAAAATATCCTAGCTACTTCTACATAGTCAAAGTAAAAAAGTCTCAGAAAAGTTTTGTGTATACCACCTGCAGCCTTTGTCAGGTTGGCTCGGAGGGCCTGAATGGTCTCCTTGGCTTTCCGTAGTTCAAACTCCAGGACTGGACAGGGATTTGGAATAAACACACACAGGCATCCAACCAAGAAAAGGGAAACAAAAATAAAAAATAAAATAAAAAGCAAAGATGGGTATGAAAAAAAATACAATTTGTATTGAAAACAGAAAGCATGCAATCTTTATGAAACTTGTGAACGCATGCAGCAGAGTTGATTTGCAAGCAAACTGGTGAATGTTTTCCATAGTTTTAGCAGAATTAAGGGACTATTAGTAAATGTTCTAGCTGTCTGACAAGGAATAGCTCTATTTAAAAATAAAATGTACAGCATATTTTCATTTAGGTAATGGTAAAATCTTATAATCTCTAAGACTGTTTCACTCAGTCTAGGTAAAAAAAATGAAATGTTTTAAGGCAAAATAATTTTAGAGGAAAAATTAAAAATTAGATGAAATTTATCCTTAAATAAATATCATTAGGATTTTTCCAAAAAGTTTTTAAAATGCAGTCTAGAACAATATTCTAATATCAACATGTAATAACATCAGTGAACAGATTCTTTTTGTTAAGATGTTAAAGAAATATAGACTAAATACTTGACTAACAGTAAGATGCCTATACATCTTCCTACAAACAAATATATTTTCTGAAAATAAGCATAGTTATGTTAAACACCTCGAAAATTCTAAGTATTTTGGTTGGCCTTTGGTGGCTCATGTCTACACAGGAGACTGAGATCTGAGGATCAGGGTTGGAAGCCAGCCTGGACAGGAAAAGTCCTTGAGATTCTTACCTTCAATTAATCACCAAAAGAGCTAGAGAGTTGTGGCTCAAGTGGTAGAACAAAAAAGCTAAAGGACAGCACCCAGATGCTGAGTTTAAGCCCCAGGATTGGCACCAAAAAATAAAAATTAAAAATAGGGTTTTAATTAACTTTTTACTTAAATAAAAAGTAAAGTATCTCTTTTAATTTCTAGCTGGGATAATTCCTAAAGCAAGTGATTATGTTCATTTAAACTCTAAAATGATTATGCATAGTTATCTAAGGATATCAAGTACAATTAAGGAATTCCAAAGATTCTGATAGATCTTCAAATAGATTTATTCATGTTAGAATGGATTAATGAAACTAAAAGATTTCTATTACCATAATATGATCATAAAATAAAAAGGAACACAAGATTTTTCTTGTGTTCTTACTAAGCTCTTTAAAATGTTTTGTTATGACTAAAGTTTCAACACATATGTTTGGTTTTTTTTTAACTTTATAAATATTAGGCTAAAAAAGCAACTTAGATTTGAGGGAAAAAACATTTAAGTAAATCTCTGGAAAAATGAAGTAAACTTTGTCACAATTGAATATTAAAAAGACAATAGTTAATAGTTCTGTATTAAACTTAGGGGATTTAAGGTTTCATTTTAAAGATTGATTTTTTTTTTTTCCTGGTTGACTAGTAAAAAGAAAAAAGATTACATGAGATGTGGTCAGAGATGACAAACCTATAAAAATATATGGAAAAATCAGAATTCACTCAGTTTGCATATGTTTGATAAAAACTTGAGATGTAGTTACATCTAGTATAAGATGGCCAATTATTTGGATGCACAGAATTTAACTGCAGCAAAGATGGAAGCACAACAAAAAAATCAGATGACACTATGTTATTGTATGCTTTTTGGTAGCCAGCAATGCTGATCTGCAAACATTTCTGTGCAACAAAGGTAAGACGTTTCCCCTACAGCTTACATTTCTAGAAACTTAGTGCTAAGACTAAATACACATTAAAGTATGTTTGTTCACTTTCTAAATTTAGGTAACTGATTTTGGTTTAAAAATATCTAATGGTACTGTATCTTAAGTAAAAGTGTACATATTATGCTTTCAGTATCACTAAAAATTTACTTAGATGTATTACAGAACAATTGCAGATCAGAAATGCCCTATACCAGAATGACAGAAATGTGAAAAAACAAAAACAAAAACAAGGGGAAAATTTGGTTAAAACACAAATTGGTAAAAACTCAAATTAAATTAGTGAAAAGTTGTGACCAAGAGCAAAACACTGATGATTAAGGCACAGAAAGCCAGAAAAACCCATGTCAGACGGCAAGAATATAGTATATTTTTATACACATCTCCACATATATAGCCAAATGTCATCAGGAACTACCAATGTTTTGAAAAGACAGTTTCAATCAAAATGAATTCACTCTGCTGCATGTTTCTTACAGTACAGTATACATTGTAGTTGTTAAAAGACAAGTATATATTTGAGGCTATGGCACATCTCTACAAAGGCACAGTATAATCAAGTAATTGCAATTGTGAGAAAATTTAATAAGAAAGGCTCTTCATAGCAGTGCTAATATATATATATATATATAAATATATGAATATATATATATATATATAAATCTGTCCTTAGTAAAAGAATGAATTAGAGCTCAAATTTCCAAGTATTTTTAAATATCAGAATTCTTATTAAAAATTTGAGAATAAGTGTTTATAAAAAATACTGCAGAAACTAACAACCAACCTGCTCACTCTAGTTGGCCAACCCAGATGAATGTATTCTTACTGGAATTAAAGTAATAGCTACAAGCATGTGGGTACATATTAATATTGCATGATACAATTTTACCAAAACAATTAATGACTGAGCCAGTATAAGCATGTTTAAATTAGTTGAAATAATTATTTCTCACCCTAATACTAGTAGCAGACCAGAGGTTTTTTGTTTGTTTGTTTTTTGGTTAGTCATGGGGCTTGAACTCTGGGCCTGGGCGCTGTCCCTGAGCTCTTCAGCTCAAGGCTAGCACTTTACCACTTGAGTCATAGCACCACTTCCAGTTTTCTGGTGGTTTATTGGCTATGAGTCTCATGGACTTTTCTGCCTGGATTGACTTTTCACTGTGATCCTCAGATCTCAGCCTCCTAAGTAGGTAGGATTACAAGTATGAGCCACTGGCACCTGGCAGGTTAGAGTTATTAAAGGTTATGATTTCTGTTGGTGTGGTAGTGCATGCCTGTAATCCCATTACTCAAGAGACTGGGGCAGAACTTCAAATTCTAGGACAGGTTACATGGTGATTTCTTGTTTCAAACAATAACAATATATCTATATTTATAACTATATGTATCTCTATTTTTATAAATACAAAGGTCCTGCCTTCATGACTTTGGAGGTGAGCAAATGAAGTCAGAAATAATTTTTGATGGTCCTGACTATATTTAGTACTATATTTATCTTGAAATATTTGATAAAAGCAGTTCATTTTGACATGAAACACAAAAATATTTAGAAGATATTTTCCGTAACATTTGTCAAGAAGTTTTTCATTCCCATTCAAAAGTTCAGATCAACAGTTCCATTTGTCTTCTTTCAGATGAGAATTTCCTGGATATTTTTTTTTGTACTACAAGGTAATTTGAAGGAACAATTTTATACTTTTTTTTGGGGGGGGAAGGGGGTCCGGTTGTGGGGCCTGGGTGCTGTCCCTCAGCTCTTCAGCTCAAGGCTAGCGCTCTACCATTTGAGCTACAGCATCTTGTCTGGCTTTTTTTCTTTTTGCTTATGTGGTACTGAGGAATCAAACCCAAAGCCTCATGCATGCAAGGCAAGCACTCTACCACTTAGCCACCTTCCCACCCCCCAATTTTATACTTTCAATATTTGTTTTACTTAATTATCCTAGGAATAGTTCTAGAACAAGGAAAAATTCTATGTTTTCTTAAGATTCCAAGTTAGAATAAAAATTTGTTTCCAACATAAGGCAAGAACGTAGTACTTTACCTTGCAACTGGATTTACAAGGATCCTCTAAAGTGGACTTTAGAAACACCTAGTTCTGTGAGGTATGACTTAGAGAATGATAAGTGCATCAAAGCTAGATGCAATCCCATAATTAGTAGGCTGCATTTTCTTCATTCATTTAATGAGATATTGGTACAGGGAAGCATCTTCTATTCCCCCAGCCTTTAAAGAAACATTTCTTAGATGGTGGCTCACGCCTGTAATCCTAGATGAGATCTGAGGATTGTGGTTCAAAGCCAGCCTGGGCAGGAAACTCCCTGAGATTCTTATCTACAATAAACTTCTCAAAAAAGCCAGAAGTGGTGCTGTGGCTCAAGTGGTAGAGCACTTGCCTTGAGCAAGAAGTTTGGGACAGCACCCAGGCCCAGAGTTCAAGCCTTAGGAATGGCAAAAAAAAAAAGGAAAGAAAAGAAAAAAGCAAGCAAGCAAGCAAAAAGAAAAAACAAAGTTTCTTTCAATTACTGGTCTCCTGCTTAGGTTCCTCTGTCACTCATCTCAAACTTGGTGTTTCTCAGGGTATCATCTTTGGCCCTTTTCTCAGTCTACTTAACTACCTAGATAGATGATACTCCTTTGCTTTTAAATATTACAAGTACTCTGAAGGCTCAAAATTTTAAATCCTCTTCTCCAAGACACAGATCTACCAGATTATTTCTTAGGCATGTCCACTTAAATGTTTTTGAAATCCTGAATTTGATATTATCTAAATAAATTTCATCATCTTCCTCTCTAATCTATTCTTTCCCTTGCAGTCTCTGTCCATTAAAGGTATTAGTATGTACTCAGCAGACAAACCAAGGAAACCTCAAGACTATTTCTTTCTTACCCTTCCTCCTATTAAATGTCTAAACCATACTGAATCTAAGCCTTTAATATCCTCAAGCAACTGTCTCTGTACTTGCTCATACTTTAGACCTTTATGTTATGGAATCATAAATTACTAAATAAACATATAATCATATTGAAGATTGAAAAATCCTACAGAAAAGCATGAATTTCTAAACTTATATAACCATAAAATTCTTATTTTCCCCACTTTCATTGCTCCTTTACGCAACTAACATTGTTATGAACTTTAAGAAATATTAAAGAAAATGAGAAATCCACAAAAAATTAATGAATATAAACATCCACTACAATAATATATACCTCCTTCCCTTAACCCTATCTTAGTTTCATGGTAACAAATGCAGATAAATCTATTTGAAAATACTTCCTTTTATTCAGCCTT